AAAAAGTATTTTTCTGTAAGGTCAGATGTTAAAAAATATGCACGCTATCTGACGTTGAGCTTAACAAAAGGTCAATAAAATATGTTATAGGGTAAAATTAAGCACTCATGTAGTCCCCCTCCATTGGAACACACATATCCAAGTCTTAGCTATGATGCTCAAAAGACGAGGAGGACAGGCTCGTGACAAAGTAAACTTTACTTAACTTAGCTCTAACATTCGGCAAAAGGATGATATTATTTTCAAAAGTATGCAATCTCTTGTAATCCAATTCAACTCGAACTCGACATCAGCCCAGCCCATACTTAGTACTAACTTGATCATTGAAGAGTGTAGTTAATTACTGATCATTTCCTAGAATTTCAATGATAAAAATTAAAATTAAAATTTATTTAAATTTTAGAAACGAAGATATAATATATATACACTAACTTCTAAGGATGGTATACAGTTACAAGATTTCAAAAAAAAAATTAAAAAAAAAAAAGATCGAAAGATGGTATAGTATTAGAAGGAATGAACATTTAACACGTGGAATTACTATATTGGAGACATTTAGAATAGAAAGATAAAATCTGTCAACCGTTTGTTTATTTGACTAGTTGGATGAGTAGAATTTAATTCTCAATTAGTTGATTTTTTTTTTATTGAAACATTGGAGACTAGCTAAATCATTCTAATGGTTGGAAACACTATTTTCTTTTATTAGTAATAATTCATTTGGTTGTACTTGACATATTTTTATTGGGTTGGATTTTTTTTCTTTTTTTAAGTTTTGGATGCATTTTTAATTTATGATATTGTGGTTGAAATTTTGTAGTTATGTTGAGTGTTTTATTAGTTTAATTTTATGGGAATTATTGGTTAGGAAAATTTTCATATAATTTTAAAAACGTAGTAATTTTGTCAATTATTAATTTTGTTATAGACTTATAGTTCAATTGGACGAAGTTAAAAATTTAGCGCTAAAATTTATTCATTTAATTAGATATAAAGTTTAATATAAATAAAAAAAAACATTTATGCTAAGATGGAATAAATATAAAATATAATTTTTGGTGTAAAACAACATCTCTAAAAAATCATTTCTATTGTTTTTTAGTCGAAACATCTTTTAGTGGTTAGTTAGCCAATTGAACTATTCTGATAACAAACAGTATTGGAATATTTTCCAAATTTGCCTTTATGAAATTTTAAACGAGGAAATTTATCATATCAATTACCAGGATGTTCAAAACGAGCAAAATTTAAACAGTTAAGGTATATATCATTCAACCGAAATATCAAAAGTTTAAATTGACACACCTCTATGTTGACCTAAAAAGAATTATCATAACTATAATCACTATAATTTACGAATGTTCTACTTTCCTATATATTTACAATTATTTTTAGTTATTATTAGATTAAACTACAAATTTAGTACTTTTGAGCGGATTCTGAGTTCATTTCCTATGGTTTCAAAAGTACTAATTTGGTCTGTGAGATTTACAATTTGGTGTAAGCTCACAAATCATTCTCACCGTTACCCTATGGGATAGAGAACACATTTCCTATTTTTCAGGATGATGAACCTCTGTTTTCTAATTTGGCTAATCATATTAACTACTTGTACTAGAGTTTCTATTTGAGTTAAAAATAAAGAAAATCATATAGATTTTTTAGTAGGTGAAAAATGGTTAATGATGCATGAGATTTAACCCGCCATAATAGATTGAAACTTTGTAATTCGAGCCCATGGATAAAAATAACGAAGGCCCAGATTCGTGGGCCCAATTCATTTCCAGCCCAAAAATGTACTGCTTGGTGGTTGGCTGGGTCCATTTAATCGGGTCACGTCTCGCTGCCTCACTACCTAACAAATCATCTAAATTAATTTCGTACCATACAGATACTGCATCAACTACTTCCATGTTCTATATATATATGTGCGTGTATGTAGGTGTATATATATAATATAATATAATGTTTTGATTTTGATTCTGATTCTGATTCTTGTTTTTGTCTTTGCTTGCGAGAGAAAAATATCTTATCAACTCGAATGATAAGGTAATATTTTAGTTTAAATCTCATTTTCATTTCTAAACTTTCACATTTAAATCATTTTATCAACTTTTAAAATGTCTATATTAGACTTTAAAAAGTAAAAAAGAAAAAACTTTCGTAATGTCGGTTTGAGTCTCTAAATCATAGAAAAATAACAATTTTAGTCCTTACTTTTATTTTGATTTTACAAGTACGTGTACATACTAATTATGTTTTAACGAGCATGCATTCAGACCATGAAACTAAAAAAATGAGTATTGGGCAGGTGAATCTTATGTGGCAAAATTACAAGAACTAAAATAGTCACTTTTTGATAATTGATGGACCAAATTATATATTTTGAAATTCAAGACCCAAAACCATGCTTTATTTTTTAAGTTCAAAGATTGAAGTATATATCTGGAAAGTTCAAGACCAATATAATATTTTTTTTCCGGTTAAAAACCTGAACACTTCTTTGGCATTTTCTTTCCAATATTATTGAAGTTTTTTTTATTTTTATTTTCACTGTGTTTTGAAGATGTATTCGAATCTTAAAATACTTCCTGCAAAATATTATTATTATTTTATTTTAAAAAATTAAAATTAAAATTACTTTAAAATGTCTTTTTTAAAAAATTACAGAATTATGGCTTTTTCTTTTTTTAAACATTTATTGAAGTGTCTCAGAGAAAAGTTGAATTAGGTGTACTAACAACCAAACACTATGTATGTGATTAAATCAGTAATATTTTACTAATATCGTAGCATGTAATATTAAACGTTCTTTTTTTTATTATTAAATCTTATTTTAAATTCCCTCGTTAAAAAATTTTCTTTTAAATTCATGTAAAAATAAAGTTTATTGTGTGGACCTATGTTTAACGCGTGAGCATACACATCACAAGACGCGCGAAATTCAATGACAATCTAATTGAAAATCTAGTAATTTTAATTTAGTCAGTTGAAGAACTTTTTAGTTCGCCAATGTGTTGGAACTTGAAATTTATTAGTCTAACCTATAAAATAGATAGTACAAAATTTTTGGTATTTACTATCAAAGTGAGTATAGCTAATCGATAATTGACATAAATTTTCTGTGAGTTCGATCCTCCACACCTACATATTATATTAAAAAAAAATTGATAGTTCACTCAAAAGAATTATCTATCTACAAATGATACAATTTCTACACCATTTTATTCTCACATTGCTATTTGACACTCTTAATCTAGGCAGTCGCTAACAATTTGACTTATATAGTCACATAAGTATCGTAACATAACAATAAAATGAAAGTACAAATTCATCAATCGATTAACTGCACTTTAACCACTTTTGAAATACTTTTTAATACATTAAAGATAAATTTGGAAAGTTCAAAAGATTAAAGATTAAATTGAGAAATACTCAAAATAAGAACGTTTTTTATATTTTGCCCTATATTTTTTCAACTTAAAATTTAAAATTTTTTTTTTTTTGTTTCAAACCGTTTGCAAGCATCCAACTCAAAGAAGTGAGCATAAACAAAGAAGGACAAAACATCATTTTAAATATTTTAGCCAATATTTAGGTAGCCACGGATGATGCGTAGGTATTGCTCCCTATTTATTACTATTAGAAATGGACACTAAAAAGATGGAATACGGAGGAGAGTGAGAAAATAGAATAAATATATATAATAATTGTCAATTTTTTTAAAGTGAAATAAATAGTTGTATTAAAAATTCAAAGCCACCTAGATTACATTTGAAAGGATATCTCCTTGAACAATTTTCAAAAGCTACGAAGGATACAAGGTGTGACCAAAATGACGTGGCTATATTATTAAGCCCATGTTCTTGCTAATATATATATGAGCAGGTTGGAGGTGGATGAACGATATGGAAGCAAAGCTTAGGACAAGGCCTTTCATATCAGCAACCAGTTCAATTCATCTCAAAGGGTTAATTTTTCTCCTCGAATATGTTGAATCGTTATGAGATACTCAAATTATATTCCACTTGAAGTTGGAAGAAGTGTATGTATCGAGTCAACTTGAGACCTTTAAGAATCGCTCGAATTTCAACTAACAAAGGTGGAAGAGCGATAGTGAGTACTTGAGTTTTTGCTGACTTAATGATTCCTCGAGGGCCTATAAGAAGAAGACCCAGATTGGTGAGAGAATATCTACCACCAACATCCACATTTAATTTGATGTATTTGGATGGAGGAGAGGTTGAAGGTAAAGTAGACGAATATGAGTAGACATTAACAAGTTCATCGACTGGCTGGACAATTTTGAACCTATTGAAAATTGTGAACATAGGAGCTAATACATTCACATTTGGAACAACTTATATCTGGAAGATGTTTACACTGAATGATAGTTGTCACTAGATCCCTCCCCTTTATTCCTGGCAGAAACTCATCCCACATTTCAATAAATGTTCAAAATTGTCCGGCCAGTCAGATGTAGAATAGCCAATGTTTGCTGCCTACCATAGGAAAATTTTAATTTTTGAAGGCATATGCAATTTCCCTATAGTTTTTGACTAGTACGGACAAGCACTTAGATTTTGAGGGGCAGTAGATCAGCTTTTGTATTTGTCCTCATGACCATTCAAAAGCTGGGTGTCACCTTTCATTTTACACAATCCCCAGCCTAATTAAATGATCATTATTCTTTTCATTTTTCTGTTTCAAGTTCAATTATGTGAGGTATAGATTCTAAATTCCAACTTTTTAATTGGAAATATAAAATCCATTTATATATATATGCATGTTTCTAGTTGAAGTATATTCACGTTACGCATTTTTTCTTTTTAAGTTTTGTTGTTAATAAAAATAATAAACTCAACTAAACATATGGATGAAAAAAAATATATAAACCAAAAAACTAACTTCGTTGAATTTTGGTTATTTCAGTTGGATGAACGAGTGAATATGGACGAAATCATGCTTTGAAGTTTGAAGTTTGAACACCGCACTAACACTGTCCCCGAGTGAGCATTAATTCCAAGATTCGAAGTACAGAAAAGTTCAGATTCTCCTCGTCACGAAAAAAGAAAAATAATTGAATACTCAAATTTCTTCTCTATATATATTTGTTCCTTTCTATCCAAATTCAAAACACCCACATCAAATGTTCATGCTCATGCTCATGTTCATGTTCATGTAATGTAATTAATCCACATTAATTGAACCTAAACCTCACCGGGAAACTCATCGCTTCTCGTTGGGGAAATATCGATCTCTATCAAATTCTCCTCCTCCAACTGAAATAATTCCGATGATGCCTTCATCTTGTTCGTCGTCTTATCCAACGCAATCTCGATCAGTTCATCCCTGTCTTCACCGTCGTCCCACATGAAGCACAGACTGTCAAGTGAATCCCACGCTCCGGGAATCGGAAACTCGTCGTCCGAAGAGCTATCGGAGTCGGTCTCGGGATAGTACAGCGACAGCGATGGATACCGCTCGATGCGTACCGGTACCGGTCGGGGCTCCGTTTCCGTAAACGGATCGCTCTCGTTCGAAACGTCCTTATCGTCTTCCCCTTCGTACTCCTCGTAGATAACCTCCAACGGCGCCCTCACATTCCACTGCACGAACGATTCCTCGAAGCACGCGCACGAAACAATATCACAAATTCCTCCTCCGCCTCCTAATTTACTTACTACGGCGTCGTCCCGGCCGCGATCTTCTTCCTCCGGCGGTACTACAGCGGCGGCTCTGCTTCCGATTTCGGATTCTATTTGATTCTTGTCCTTAATGTGGCGTGGAAATCTCTGAGTTGCGCCGAGGCGGAGCAGAGAGAGGAGGAGGAGTCCGGTGAGGAGAGGGACCGGGGAGAAGAGGAGTGGCCAGAAAATGCGAGGGAATGAGAGAAGAATGAGAGCGAAGAAAGTGAGGAGAGTAGAAAAGAGAGGATCGGAGAAACAGGAAATCGTACGCTTACAAGAACACATGGTCAGGTTACAGGAAGACGAGAATTGTGCAAAAAAAATGGAGGTCAATTGGCGAACAGTCCGATTCCGTTGTGTTCTTCCATGGAAATAATCAGAGAGATGCAGAGGAGCTGAAGAGTAATGATGTTTTAAGAACGGAAGAGGAAGGGGAAGGCCACGATTCGATTCGTCGTCTCGTCTGGTGGGCAATGCACGGAATATGAATCGTTCTGAATCTCAGTAATGGGATTGCGGTCCGCGATCTGTCGTAAACTTTTCTGTTATAGTGTGTTTTTAATTACCGATATACCCCTATCTTTCCCTAGATTTAATATTTGGATTATTGTGCAAACTACGAAAGTGATAATATTGTAGAAGTTTGAGACTAATAAGATTAAAATGTTTAAATGGATCAAATTAATAATTTTATCTCTAATTCGTCTCTATATTCTTCACAACATTGTGATGAATTAAAAAACATAACAAAAATGGTGGAATGATTATTGAGATAATTAGATAGAAAACTTCACGAAATAATATAATTTTTTATTTTTAAAACGGTCAAATATGTATTAGATTAATATAACGGCAAGCGGTTGGTACGATCTAATTGAAAAAGTAGTCCAATTGAATTGTTTGACCATGAAAAATTATTATTATATATATATATATATATATTTTGAAGAGATGTTTACTAGATATATAAACTATTGGGTCATTTTCTGAAATGTTTATATTTTTTAATTTCGTTTAAATTGAATAAGTCACACAATTGAAATTTCTAAGATAATTATCTTATTCAATATGTTTTAAATTTTCGTATGATTGAGTGAAATTCGAAACGTATCGTGACGATGATATACTCACCAAGAACGTTTGTAATTTGAATAAATTAGCTAGTGATGAAATAAGTATCAAACATTAAAAAAAAATCTAATATTACCAATAAAAAATAGGAAACTACTTTGCCTTCTCAAGATCAAATCTTGTGTTCACCATTATTGAAATTTTGACAATTCATTTTCTTAAAAAAAAAATCTATATTTTTGTATTCATCTCTTAGTCGTGACATTTAATACCGAACAAGATTCTCTATTTTCCTAAAAAAAATATAGATAAAGAATTCAAATATTCCATCTTACGTTTAACTCATACAAAATGATGTATAATTTAATAACCAAACAACACCTTTAATCCAAAAGAAAACTTGAGAATAACTCATATTCATTCTATTCTTTGCCTAACTTTCTCCAAGGATCGGAATATATAATTCAACTACATATTTGTTTTGACCATTCTCAACCTCCCATTATTAGACATTAGAAAAAATAAAAATAAACTATAGAAGTCAATAATAAGGCAATTGATGACACTAAATTAAAAATGTTATTTTTGTACTTGAGTAAGCTTAGCTTAAATAAAGTGCGAATAATTTATCTAAAAATATCATTGTGAATAATAGAGGAGAGGTCCCATAAGGATTTGGGTGGTAGCCCTGTAATTTAGGTGGAGAATTGACCACAAACTGGACAAAACACATGACTGAGAATCCTCTACTTTTCTTTTTCCATGAACATTATCAATACATGATCTTTCCATAGAATTATTTCTCCTCTTTCTTTTTCTTTCTTTCTTTCTTTCTTTCTTTCTTTCATGTTGGTTGCAAAAAAAAGTACCTTTCTTTGCTTTCATCTACAGCTACCACTCCTCTTTTCTGTGTGACTTTGAAGTTGTCTAGCTTTGTGGGGCTCTCTCTTCTCTGTATGATCTGGTTCATGAACCACTTTTATACCTATTTTGGACCTTGTAAGTAAAAGGGGTTTCAGGGAAAGACGAAAAAAAAGTGATCTGAAAAGATAATATATTTTTTAGCTCAATTTCAATCTGAAAAGCTGTTTTGGGGTTTTATTTGAATGATTTAGTTTGATCATGTCTGTGTTTTGGTGCAAAAAAGTTCAAATCAATTAATGATCAGAAAAACTTAATAGAAAATTCCTCCCAAGAAAAGAAAAAAAGGGAATGTAAAGTTTTCTGTTGCCTTTCGTTATCCCATGTCCAAGTTTGGTCCTCTTTTTCGGGCAACGAAAACGATGCTTCACAAAAGTACCAAAACTTTACTTTTAAGAAAACGATGGAATAAATGATTATGTATGATTGATTCTGTGAGCTTCTATATTATGAAGAGGCTTATAATTAATCGTAATTATGGAGAACCTTTTTAAGGCTCTAATATTGTTCACCTTATATTTTGAAGTTATTTTGCCAAGAACTTGAGCAAAAAAAAAGGGTACTGTTTGTGGTAGTACTTTTAGTGTTTTGGTTGTAATATTGTTGATATGGGCAGACAAAGAGATGTAGCTCCATCAACTCTGTGTTGAGTTGACGACAGTGAGGCTTGGAATTAGAAATATATATATATATATATAGCTGCTTTTTAGGAGAGGTTTCTTCACATGGGTTTTGGGACCCTTTGATTTCACTACTGTTCTCTTCTATCTATATGTTTCTAATGAAAATGGTGTTTTGTGTATCTTTTAATTTTGGTCAAATCCAAATATATTGCTTTGCCTTGGTTTTTATGATGTTGGGTTTGTATAATTTTGGTTTGTTGTTACGTAGGATCTTGGACGAGGTGATATTAAAGCATGAGAGTCGAGGTGGACTCGGAGTCTACTAAGCTGATGACATGCAAACAAGATGGATTGGTTGTGGTGCTCGATCACGAACAATCTGAAACTTAAGTTAATACTTAATCTAAGCTATTATCTGGACGAGCATGATAAGAGATTGCTTACAAATTGCATCCCTTTGAAAATGTGGAACTACCTTTTATAAAGGAGCCTTGGAAAATGCAACCCTACCGCTCTAATGCATATATATCTGGTGTCAATAGATCGATCTCCTACTAATCTCATGCTAGCCGCCCTCCCTAAGTATGTGTCAAGCCGCCCTCCCTAAGTTTGTGTCAACGGGATTTTCGTCGGATGTAGATAACTTTGCTAGTCCCATTTTGTCAGCTCCCACCTACCGAGCCATTTCCATACATATTCAATATAACATTTGTATTGTCCAAAGGAATGAATTATATAAAATTGGGATAATTTAATCTTAAAATTTAGGGTTTAAGGTTGAAGGGTAGAGTTGTTGTAATGGTTAAAACGGAGTACAATACATGTAACAGACCAAATTAGTAAATCTATAGCTTGGAAAAAGCACCGAGCTCTGAATAATAATTGAAATTTAGCGTTTTAATGAATGGAATGAAAATTAATGAAAAGATCATAGCGACAAAATGAGTTTTTAGGATTCAAATTCATTGTCTTTTTCTTTTCTTTTCTTCTTCTTTTTTTTTTTTTGGCATGTTCACGGCCAAATTCTGGCAATATTTTTTAAAAGGATTGTGTATCTTCCAATACAGATATATTTTTTATACATCCCTAAAATAAACTCGTCCAACTGTGAGGCTCAAGTAGATAAGAATGAAGATTAAAAAAAAAATGGCATTCCTAAAAATGAGCGACAAATCCCACTTACTCTAATTATTTGGTACTAAAATAACTACATTACTTAATACATATAGATGGATAGGAATCTCACCTCATAATCAAAAGCCCCAATAGTTAAATGAGATGCCCTAAACGAAGTGTATTTTTAAATGGAGAATCATAACAAAGCGGCCGAAGCTTAGCTTTAAAAGTAACTAATCATTCCAGCACTAACCATTTAACATTTTATTTAAAAAAACAAAACAAAAAACCATTGTCCAAATACATTAGCAGCAGTTCGAACATAGTATAAAAAAATAAATCCAGACATCCAAAAAAGACACCACCAATAATAGACTACATCGAAGCTATATCTTCATCACCATTATTATATAAAAACCTACTCCCTATAACTCTATAACTAATTCGAGAAATAGGTAAACGCTTTTTTCAATGATTTTGTTTCTTTTTTTGTTCGACTCTTGTGTTTGTCCATCTGGAAATCAACCATCTTACTATAATAATTTACTTGATGTTCTTCTATGCTTGTAGCATGAATTAAGGCAAATATAATGGACTATTTTTCAATGTTAAAATAGAACTCCCCAAATTTGAAGTGAAATAGCACATATAATCAAAGCCAATTTGAACATATCTTGAATCCTTGAACTTTCAGACAAAAACAGATGGAAAGAAATAAAGAAGAGGGAAAAAAAACTGCTGTGAATCCTTCTGTATTTTGCGAGCTACGAGACGAAATTTAAGCCTTGCCAGTTCATGAGTCCAGCTTATGAGAAACATTTTCCACATAATTGGAAATTCAAACTCCTGTTGCGAGTTAAAGCCATAGCCAACAGCTGTCAATCAATCAAAGTCGAGGCTTTCTAACATTTCTAGTCTGTCTCCAAATTCTGCTCTTAATTTCCTCTCTGTAATTTCTCAAGCGTTACAGAATCGGAGTGTTTCATCACACGCCACCAAAAAGGAAAGGCAAAAAGGAAAACCCACAATCGATAATCAATTATGGAGCATTAGTTATTCTTCTTCCAGAGTTCACCAAAACCCAACTGTTGGTGGACACGTTAGCAAGCAATACATGTGAAGGCATAAACGCAGGCAAGAAAAAGCAGAACATTTAGTGAAATAACGACAGAAACTTGCGAGGAAAATATGCTTCGTTTTTATTAGGCAGAGAATGAATGAAAGCAATAGTACAATGTACTGTCAAATTTATCAGAATTTGGATAAAGGGACCAATGCTTCCCCCCTTTCAAAAGAATTTCCTGGAACATTTTTACCTATCATCAGTCTGTCTCTGTAATACATGTACAAAAAAGAAGAGATGCATGTTCTAACTCACCCCCATCTTCATCTTCAAATGAACGGTTTGAAGAATCGGCCAGTGAATGTCTTGACATGTACAGATTTCGAGCAGGATCTCGGATATGCAGATCCCTATAACAAGTTAACCACATTCTTTTATCTTCCTAGCCGCACTGCGTATTCTACGACAACCTAAATACAAGATGTATTTACAGAGCCCTCCCGTGTCTGGGTTAGAGAATTCATTACTCTGTCTCCGTGGGAAATTTTTTCTTTGGCCACTGGTCTTCTTCTGCGAATAATGCCACGGAAATCTCCGCGAGCTTCTTTCTGTTCAATGGTGCCCTGAAGTGTCTTCCGGGAGGAGCATTTGGGGCTTCAATCTCGTCGAAATCGTTGGAATTGTTGAAATCGATGGCGGTACGGAAGGCACGAACCTTTGAGGGGGTGCTGTAAGCGAAGTGCCATTCTTTTGCAATCAAAGTCTGCATATGAAATTGTAACCCTAGACCAGTGAGAATCATTGAAGGCAACGAATTAAAACAAATAAAGTAAATGATGATAATGATCGAAATATGAGTGATATTTACCGCTTCACTTATTGTCTTCGAAACGCGGACTAGCTGTTTCAAATCATCGTGGTCTACACCGCAGAGTATCATAATCTGTCGACAGGGAAAAGGAAAAAAATCAATTAAGCGTATCGAATCGCGACGAATCTGAAGATTCTATATTTTACTAAGCGATCTCAAGCTCTGGAAGAAGTTTGTACTAACCAGAATCTCCTGAGGCAGAGCCTCGAGCAGAGACCTAACGGAATCCACCATCGGACTGACGCTGCACCGCCTCTTCGACGGTGCCTTTGGTGTCAAGTCGATAGGCGAATCCTCCTCATTGCAAGAAACCACAATCCGTTTCCTACTCAAACTTCGCGTATATCTCACAATCTCGAAATCGAGCCCCTTGTCGGCAGAAGAGACGACGCGTTTCGATTTCAAACAACCGCTATTCTTCCCCAACGCCATAGTCGATACTCAATTAATTTCAACCTTCCCAATTATCTGTATCAAGGCGCGAAAAAAAATAAACAAATGTCAGGCATTAGAACTGAGAAAATCCTAACAATATGGAACTGAATCCATAGACTAAGTAAGAGAGATTCAAGAACCCTAACAAAAATCTGATCGAAGCAAAACAGCTTTTCTTCCGAGAACAGTTTCCAAAAGCAGACTGAAAGTGTGGAATAAGGAAGAAATCTAAAATTGATTCTGGAGCGAAACGAACCTGATATGGATGGCCGTGGAGATTCGAATATCTCTCTCTTCTCTGTTACAATTTCAAAGAAATCTTTTGCTCTTCAAATGGAAACTCAGCAAACTACGGAGTTGCTTTAAAATTGTCGATATTCTGTCTTATATATTGCGGAAAAAGATAGAATTTTCTCGCTTTTCAAAAATTACAAGAAAAAACAGTAAAACGAAATGAAAAATAATCTTTTAAAAAAGGGCAAAAGGAAAGGAAAAATATATATATTTTAATATCCCCACGCGCTTTACAGAATCCGCTGGAATTTTCGGAGGAAAAATCTGCGTATTTATCGTTGATGTCATTTATCTCCCTTGGCGGTTAAAATAAGTGGAGGAAGGGAAGGAAAAAACTAGCCGTTGGGGAGTGGGACACGCGTCGGCATATCACGGGAGGAAAAGAACCTTGGATGCTTCAGGGTGATGACGTGGAGATATGGTCGGTTCAAGTCGGCGATGCCGGTTCCTTCTCGAACACGTATTTTTTGTACTTTAAAATTTTATAAAAGTTAGGCGACCAAGACCAGAGACGTGCCCACTAAGCCTACTTAAGCGACTGGCGACCTGACACGTGTAGGAACGGGTACTGCGACGTCGTTTTGAGGTAGGTGCACGGGTACCGGGGAGCAGCGGATTAAAACTCTTTTGACTGGAGTCGATATATTCTAATAAGGCGGGCGGCGAAGAAGTTGACGGCTGTTTTGATTTCAGAATTTTAATCCGCACGGCGAGGGAGTGTGAGTCAACAACGCGTAGGACCGATTTCATCATAGACTAAAAAAAGGGGAAAAACGCGTAGGATCTAACTGAACGGTATCTCTACGTCAAAAACATTCACACTCCGTTTTAACTAATTTTGAGTTAAATTACCAAATCGACCACTAAACTATTTTTTTTTAGCTAAATTTTAAAAATATACCCTTCAGCTTTACCATTTATTTAAACAATATCTCTTTTTATAAACATTTCAACAACAGTATTTGAACTAATGTTCAGTCTTGGTACGGCATAATTTAGAACAGCATGTAATTAAAATGGAAGCTTTATTAGATTAAATAGGAGATGTGAGATAAGCTTAAAATGGAAGCTTTATTAGATTAAATAGGAGATGTGAGATAAGCTATGTTTCTAAACGGTGATTAGGACAAAATTAAGTAGACAATTCACAAACAAACTCTGTTGAGAATTAATAAGATGTTTACTTGGGACATATATACTTCGTCAAATTACAAGTTAATTGCATATCAACAAATGTTTAATTAGAAGGTATTTCTAAGTTAGGTTATTTGGATGGTATTAATATGCTTTTACATAGGTTGTTTACGCAACCAATTGTTCCCACCTAATCCATCAAGTAGTGGAGTTGGTTGGCTCCAATTATTCCATCCTTCCAGCTAAATTCCACACAAAAGATTGTTAACAAAAAAAAAAAGAGGCAAATATTATTTAGTGTTCTTCGGTGTTTCCGATTGCAACACAACAATGATTTGATGGTTATGGAATAAATTTTAAATCTATATTCAGTAAAATATTTATTAAGTTACTTTCGACTATAATTAGTAACTAGCATTTGTATGGGTCATTGATTCGAGGCAAATCATAACTGTTAGGGTTTATATATATATATATATATATATATATATATATATACACACATTCCATTCAGCTCAATTTTTATTCATTCCCTTCATTATTTGATGAAAAATAAATAACATTGAAAAGGGAACATATAAATAATACTCGATCAGTTGGTAGCCTCTCCCATTAATTTAAATGAAAGCCTAATATTCTGACTATATTTTTTCTCGTACGTTTGTAATATTTAAAATTTATAAATGATATTATTTTCGTATTGATTTAACACACTCAAGTAATCTCACACAAGGTTAAAATTCATTGATAAGATACTAATGTAAAATACACTCTATTGAGTTTGAAATATTATGGATGTTATATATGATGACACATTGATGTCAATGGAGACCCGCTCATAAAATCAAATAATATCCACTTCACATGATGTTTGATTCAAATAGTTTGTAGAGTATCATGAGTATAATTCAATTGGTCAAAAAGATAAAAAAAAAAAACAGAATAACATAGTCACATCAAATCATACAGGATTTAAATTCACTAATTTGTGTTCTTTTTTAATGTTCTTTTAAAGTACAAATTTGATTGACATTTTTATTATTATTATTATTTTTACATATGCTATGAATTTGTTCTAAAAACATTAATATGAAATTAGTTTACATTTAACGTATAAAATAAAATAAAAAAATATTTAGCCCAACAAATATGATTTGGATTTGTTAAGAGTTCAAACGAGGCCGTTGGTTTGGAATTATAGTCGTCTTTAATGTCCATGTTTTTGTGTTTTGGTCACCAACCCCAAACGCGCTCTGTTTGATTTTATTTATTATCATTAATTTTTTTCTGTAACATTTTGTTTTATTATGCTAAGAAACTTTGTTTGCTCCAAACTTAATTTATCCACAATTGACTTATAATTGGACGTTTTTTTTAGTAAAAGAAAAAATTCCAAGTGTAATGTTGTTTAATTTTTTTTACCTTAATTACCCACATACGTGTTAATATTATCTGCAACACCACTTTATTTTTTCAGGGACAATGTTAAATATCTAATATATGAATTAAATTTATCCAACCAATTAATTTAAGCTTTGAGTTGAGTGATGATTTATTTATCCTCAAGAACACATTTAGAACTATTAGAACTATTGAGGTTCATTATTTGATGAACTTCAAATTACATCTCAATTTATTATTTGCATTACACATTGTTATTATTAACAAAGCACGAGTGATACTAGGTTAAAAAAAAGTTTCACTCTATTGTCTTTCTAACCAACATGTCTAACCATTTATAAAAGGTTAAATAAAACTTACAAATAAAGAAGAGACAAATGCATAAGAAATATGCTTAATTCTATTATCGAGACAATGTTAAACATTTGATAATGATTGCTCGTAGTGGCTAATTTCAACATCTGTACCAAAATTGTCTTATTTCCTTATTTTCCACTTTGTGAGAAGCCAATGAAAAGTACATCTACGGTTGTTCTTTAATTTTCTTATACAAAATCATAGAGTTTTTATTTCAACGGTAATTCACATGTATCTCCAACCAAGATGTTGTGAGTTGGATCCTGCCCCTATACGTTGTATTNAGTGGTGGGTAGTAAAGTGGTGTTTTTTCTTTAATATTTTTGGAACAAATTCTCTTGTTAATTAATAATATTTTTTAATTTTATTTAATTCAATATCAAGTCGTTGTAGTATAGTGGTGAGTATTCCCGCCTGTCACGCGGGTGACCCGGGTTCGATCCCCGGCAACGGCGATTCTTTTTTTTGGTTTAGCTTCTATAATTTTGGATTCTGGCAACACGAATTTTTTGGTATGTTTTTTCATTTTCATTTCTAAATTCTTTTCCGGGCGGACTGTGAACTGCAGAACTCGCTTGATCCCGCCTCCTGTTTTTAAGCTCACTGTCGCGCCCTTCCGACGACGACGGCGACGAAATACACTCGAAAAGCTCGTTCCGGAGTCGAGAAAAGTGAAACATTAGTGCCGCCGCTTCCGCCCACAAACGCTTCTTCTTTTCGGCCTCTCTTTCATTCTTCAGCTGCACCTTTAGAGTAATTGTTGTCATTGCACGAGTAAGGAATCTTCATCAAGTTGATCGATTAAAATTCGGCCTCCGACTTGTCCGTACTTCCATTTCTGAAATTTGGTACTGTAGGCTTTTCCTTTTCAGCTCTTACTATGGAAACCGACGAGGCCGAGCGTGTGCTTCCTTTTCAGCTCCAATTTGACAAGTCTATTGCCTCTCAGGTTTCATTTTCTTACTTCACCATTGCTCTCCTGCTTAGTTCCACATATATTTGCCCATTTTTGGGGCAATGATCCTTCTGCTATTGTGTGTGGTGTCTCAGTTGTTTTCTGCTCTGAATATTTGATGATTTGCAAATGCAAGGTTAAAATTGCCGAGTGGAACCCCGAAAAAGATTTGCTCGCCATGGTCACTGAAGACTCGAAGATTTTGCTCCACCGTTTCAACTGGCAGAGGTTGTGGACTATATCGCCTGGTGAGTTATCTGTCTCGTTCAGTTTTCCTTAGCTTAGTATTTGCACTTGCTGAATTCTTTAAGATAGTGAATTTTACCAGTTCTCTTCTAGTTTTCTGTTTCAAACTCGCTGATTTCATCTGGATATAGTGGTTTTTTGGTCTTAAAGAAGTGCATCTAATATATGTTGAAGTTTGAAATTTTTTGTTGCTGTGCATAAGTTAAATAGATTAATATCAAAATACCACCTTTAATTTATTTCAATTATAATTTAGTGATTCTTGGACTATAGGTGTCTTTTATACTAAACTCTTTGAACGGTTCTGGTTAAATGAAACTGCATACAAGAGGAGAACCTGCATACAGCAAGAGAACGGCATTGATGAAAAGAAAGACTTCTGCTTCAAGAATTCGTGTTTTGTACTTTGTTATACTGTTTTTCTGCTATGAATGATTGTGTAAATTCTATTTAGGAAGATCCATAAAATCGTTATGTTGGAGGCCTGATGGTAAGGTGATAGCAGTTGGACTTGAAGATGGGACAATTTCATTGCATGATGTTGAAGTGAGTAGGCTTACTTTAAATTTAAAAAGTAATTCTTCTATTCATCGGTTAATCGCCAGATTCTTGCACCCAACACTGGTGGTCTAGATACCTGCATAATCTAGACACCCATTAGATTTTCAGCTTCAATGAGTCTAATATAGATTTTTTTTTTTCTCATCTCCTTTAAAAAAATATATAGATTTATTTTTTTAATAATTCCAACATGATTCCGATAATGTTATATACTAGTTAGTAATTCCTACATAATCTCTTCTCAACTTTTCCTGTTGTAGATTATTGTTTCTGGTCAGTTACTTCAGTAGAAGTTCTATTTTAAAATGTAATTCTTGTTTTGATGTTTTACTTGAAATCAGAATCAAATTGCATCTAACTGCATTCATTTATGTTCACAGCAACATTTAGAGTCAAAGATAGAAGTGAGAGATGCAACTTTTATTCTATTATTCTCTCTTCGCTGCTCTTTAGACCTTTTATATTTCATGTCAAACAGAATGGGAAGTTGTTGAGAAGCATGAAGTCTCACGAAGTTGCTGTGGTTAGTCTAAACTGGGTGGAGGATAGCCAGTTAATTACAGTATGTAACTCACCATTAATTTACGTAGCGTTTTCCATGATTTTTTATTTTATTGGGAAATCATTTTGCTAACATTATGCAGGATGTGCAACATGAATTATGATTTAAAGTATTAGTTTTTTTTTTCCTTCTCATTGCTTCATCCTTTTCCAAAATCGTGGTGCAGGACATAAATGAAAACTTGTCAGCTTATGAAGATCGTACTAGTCGTATTTTCCCTCCTGCTCCTACTGTTCCTCGAATGCATGGACTTGTTTCGGGGGACACTGGTTTCATTGATGACAGTGAGGACTCGTTTACAGAGTTGTCAAATTCTTCACAACAACGGTTTAACATCTTGTGCAGCGGTGACAAAGATGGAAGCATCTGTTTTAGTATATTTGGCATTTTTCCAATTGGAAAAATAGTAAGCAACTGATTACAATCATGGACCTTTATTGTCCCTCTTTGGGAAAATAGTTAGTTAACTTATTAGAACCGTGGACCTTCTTTCCCACCCTACTCCGTTGTAAATATAATTCTCAAATACACTAATGAAATTGTACCATTTCACTTCTCTGGCGTTGTTATAAAAATTTATTGTGGTACGTTACTTTCAAAACTGTATTTTTCTGATCTGGTTGTCGTGGCTTCCTGATCACTTGAAGCCTAAAAATAAAAACMTGGACCCTAGCTTTTCCCAGTTCTGCTGGTCCACTCTAGATATGTGTATCCATAATGTCGTCTATTTTTTGTAATAGAAAAAGTAAAAACTGTGTAATTTCATTCAATTTAAAAAAAATTATCTTTAATCATAACAAGTTGTTATTGTAATGAATAATATAATAGTAATTATAGTTAGAAACTCGAAATTTTAAATTATATAGTGGCATATTTGTTTATTTTTAGATTCTAGAATTCATAAAGAAATTTGTAATTTCTCTGTCCTTATTTGTGTATGTGTATTTTTCTTTTAAATTGTTTTTTAAACGCATGCAGTTTTTTTTGTTGTATTGATCCATTGGGTGCCTCTTCTATTGATGTGATTTTTGTTTTTAATGTCACAGAACATACACAAGCTTCATATTCCTCTTCAAGTTCAAGATGCTGGTGCTTCATATCACCTTCTGAATGCTGAAATTTACAAGGTACGAGAGAACACTTGGGTGATTGCTATTTTATGCTTATAGATTTTATTTGTCTATATGACCTTTTCTTTTAGGGCTATAATTGTTAATTTGTTGTCAATAGTTCTAGCATAGATCTTTGTTGGAATCCTGGTGAGGTCTTCTTGGAACTTAACCCATTCATTAGGTCTAAATTATTTAGTTAGTTGTGCAAGGATCAGGAGAATTAATTCACAGGTTCGATATAAGTCCATGATGATTGTTAGTTGATCTGCACATCAATATTTTTATTTCATTTTTAAGTTAAGGATTGATCTCTCAAAATGGTAATTACTTGTTGTTGCTACCCTTTAACTTCTCAAGTTTGGAGAGATCCATAGTCAACATTTGTCCGACTCTGAGCAGCAATATGGTGAAATTCTGACAAATAGAATCTCCGAGAGTTTTAATTTTTCTAATTTTCATACTTATATTGCTTCAAGTGAATTAGAGGGTTTTAATTAGTCCTTATCCAGGCATAAATACGTTCCATGTTGTTCCTATATCAACATGTAACATATCAAGGAGCGCTAATGGTTTACTTCAAAGATCTTGCTCATTTGAAAGTTCAGGCAGAAGATTGTGGGAGTTCGCTTTCTACTGGGTAGCTGCTACGGAGCCTCAAGTTCAAAACTCTCCACTTAATCATTAAAACATCTGAGTTGATATTAAATGATTTAGTATTGAGAATTTTTCATTCAGTCATTGAAATGTCTAGTTCTTAGATTAATAGCTAATTTAATGTTGAGAGTTCTGATTTCAAGTTTCAGAAATATCTACGGGTTTTTGAGCAACTTCAGTAATCTAGCTAATTTGTTTTACGTTTGATGTCACTAGGTTGCTTTATCAAAAGATCTTTGTCGTTTGATAGTCATGTGCTCAGGAGAACTTGTTGGAGATGGACATGATCCAAGAAATAGACAGACTAACGTTCAAGGTGTGCATGGCATGCATTCTTTAGTGCTTGATACTTCAATATTTAGGAAGAGGTAATATTACTGCAAAGATTGTGCATATTGCTCATTATTTTAACATAATATGTGCTGAAATATCTGCCCTAAGATTTACATTTCTTGTGTTCTATCCATTGGATTCTGATAGGATCATGGTAGGAAGATGATTATGGATATTATTAGGGGCATATTAGTTATTAGCTGGGTTATTAGCTGGTAGATTTATTATAGTTGAATGATCATAAGTAGGATTTAGAGAGAGGGAAAGGCAAGCAAATTTTACAAATGCTAATTATCCCCTAGTAATTTTCTTCGATATTAAAATATATTTCCACTCCTATTTTTCTTGATTTCCAGTCTCTGGTTCTGGTTCCTATCAGATTTTTGTTATGCTACTTTTCAACTGTTTGGATATTCCTCTCATGAAAATTAAAAAAAAAACTGCTTTGATATCTGGAGCCACTTTTCTTGTCAAGACTGGTACTGTTTCAACTCAACTAATACTACCTTATCTTGTATCTTCCCATCATATCCTTTCTAATGTTTGTGTTCCTGGAAAAGATATTAAAACCTGATTTTCTGCCTCTTGTTGCAGGAAAAGTGAGCTGCATCAGGTAGCTCAACAAGCTTCTAACATTGGGGAGTTGATTGAGGTAATCAGGGTATCATTATCAGTTATGAGTAAGCAGTGGTCTGATGCCATGCACACTTTCCGGGAGAAGTTTGATGCTTTATCCATGCTGATTATTAACCATGGTAGTAATAGATATTATAGATATTCATGTGCTACTCTTATTTTTCCCTTACTCATGTTGTTCCTTCTCTTGTAGGACTTGACTCATCTCCTCAAGAAGAATTTCTTAGCCTGTTGGGTGGTGCACGGACTAGTCAATCGATTCACCAATTTTTAGTTAACTCTCTTGGTGAAGTGGTACAGTCTTCTCTTTGGTCATGTCAGAGGTTAATGATTGTTTTGCTATTTCACTGACTGCTTTGGTTTAAATAGGGTGCAAAGCGTGTGTCTAAGGCTATTTCTAGTGCTGGAAGTGAACTCCAACTTATTGTCCTCGATCACCTTCAGGTGAAAGTGCAACACCTTAATTTTTCTTAATTGAAAAATTTAACATGATACCAGATTGAAATAATTTAGTGAAATACAAGTTATTCAATTGGTGTATTTAGTTGAAAATAAATATATATGTATTTTCTTGAGTTAAACAATTGGAGAGGAAGGATTGAATCATCGGATTTTAGGATGGTAATAAGTACTTATCGACTAAGATATGCTGGGATTGACTAGTTGAAAGTAAATAATTTTTTTTGAACAAGAAACGAATTTTCATTGATAAATGAAAAGGAACAAAAATTGTTCAAAGATACAAACCCCCAAAGGGGTGAAATGAAGGGGGATGAAGAAGGAAAAAAATAAAAAATAAAAAGATACAAACAAACCAAACTTAATAAATGAAGCTTAAATATTACACAAAAAAAAGCCTCCCAATTAGAACAAATCATGCTAGGATAATAATTTGCAAAGAGATTGGAGAGAACATACCATTGTGAGGCTTTGCTTAGCTATATTGAAGCATTCGAAAGCTGAGCGGCTTTTCCCTTCAAAAGTCCTTTGATTCCGCTCAAACCATAACTCGGATATAAGCGCTTTAAGGCCGTTTCCCAAAGAAGACTTGCTTTAGGCGAAAAGAAAGGACCAAATAACAACTGAAAAATTGATGAAGATACTGACTTGTCCTTTACCCAAGCTAAATTGAACATAAATAATTAAATGATGAAGATATTGACTTGTCCTTTAGTTGAAAGTAAATAATTAGAACTTAAATGCTGAGTTTCTTTTGCAGCCTGCTGTAGAAATCATTGGATTCCGGATGGGTGAACTACTAGGCCTTTCAAGATGGCGTGCACGTTTTCAGGGAGTTGGTTTGGACGAGGAGCTTATAAATAATGCAATGGAAAAAGCTGGTATGTTACTTGTGCAAGTTGACCGTTTTATGAGGGTGCTTTCAACAGTGTTGCAGCAGGTAGGTCTGATTTAAGATTAATTTTTGTGTAAATTATTATTTGAATGAAAATATTGCTATGAACCTCCCCCACCCCCAGAAAAAATATATATTTTTCAATTGAGAAGCAAGTTAGTTAAGTCTAGAATAATGAAGCGCTTGTTAGTCCATATTTTGTCACTAAAATTTTCATTTAGTAATGAGGCAGAACCTTTTTCATCTTTTCTTTATCTATATGTTATTACCTTTTTTGCTTACTTTAATCTCTTTGCAATTGTATACTGGATGTAAAAGTTTTTTGGGGTCCAGTTGAATTTGGTTGAAAATTAAAGATGGTACAAGCACGTGCTAGAACTTGCAAAACCTTGAAGATGCTTCCCCTCTTCTCTCTTTCTTCACCATCCGCCTTTCCTCCACTCTAGTATCTAAGATGAATCTTTTTTTAGTGATGATGGCAGGTTGACATTTATACTAAACAGAAGGATGCAACTTAGAAGAACTTCACCATATAAGTGGGTAGCAACTTTAGAGGTAGTAAAGTTAAGACTAATAGAAAGTGGAAGAAACAAACTCGTTTGCTATCCAGATTGTTTACATTGCCTGGTCCTTTGACAGCTCTACGAGTCTTGTCAGTCTTCTTTTGAGTCTCTTGGATCTCCTGATAAATAAGTTCCTAAAAGAGTCTATGTGCAATAATTGTGTAGTTTGTTGCAAAGGACCTCGAACAAGAGGTGTAGTTTTGTCGCAGTCTTTAAGATAGATAGCCATGAAAAGAAGAGTCACTCATTGATTCCCGAAGGCCAAAATCAAGCTGGTTGGATGAGCTTTGGAGTTTCATTGAATATCTGAAGAGGGTAGTTAAGGTAAAACCCCTTCATGGGGGGAGTAACCTCAAACCTTCATTCATTGATGCTATTAATAAAGACAATATTGACATGGAGAGAGAGGAAAATATTTCTTATTTATGGAAATAGCTCTAATTAATTATTTCCAAGGCAGCAGGTAGCAGACAAGGTAGTTAAAAACTTCATTGTCGAAGAAGGCGAAAGGTCTTCCTAGCACAATTTGAATTGTTCCAAGGGTGCTGGAGGGATTCCAGCCGTGCACAGCTCAAGACAGTATGCATGAAGTCCTTGGTATTCTCAAATTTGCATTTATCAGAGCATCCTTTACAGCCAACATTTATTTCTTTTTTGGGATCTTTTCTAATTTAATTCTGTTGGTGGTTTCCGATCCACTGGAGTCGTGTTCTTTTTTGGCTATCACGGTAGAAGCTTCTTTTGTGAGTTTTAGAAAATTTCTTAAGTCTCGAGATTTTTTCTTCAGCAACATCAATATTCCTTAAATCTTGATGGCAGTGAGTTTAGCTAATGACTTTTTGGCTTTCCAAGATCTCTCCCAGTGATTCTGTATTTCATTGTTTAGTTTATCTTTCGATTCTTGTAATTTTTGGAGAACTTGACTTTACATATTTGGTTGTTTGATTTTCTTTTTACTCCTTTTGGGCATTTGTATTATGGAACATTTTTCTATCGTTTCATCCATCCATGAAAAGTTTGTTTCTTGTTAAGAAAAAACAACTAAACTATAAACTCCAACCAACACAAACAAAATACCAACAATTATCACACCTAATACAACGCTTCAAACTAATGGTACAAATGAAGTGAAGCCATAGCATGTCTTGCAAACTAAACTGCTAAGTTGGTAAAGCCTCTGCAAACAAATCTACCAGTTGGTATTTAGTAGAAACAACCCATACATAAAGGTCTTTGCAGACCACCTTCTCTCAAATAAAATGGTAGTTGATATCAATATACTTGGTTATAACAAGGAATACTAGATTACTGGCCAAGAAATGGCAGATGGATAAAGCAGTAGTGGAGTGAGGGCCCTCCCAGTGGGTGGTGGAGGCATACTTATATTGTATGCTAAAACTTAAAGGAAAACTCAAAGATTGGAATGGGAGGATAGATGTGTGAAATAAAATCTTCCCAAATGTGACAATATAGAATCTATCTCATCATTTTAAGATATTTTAAGTCACTTATAATTTTGTAATAAAAGTGTATCAGTGGTTTACCCTTGTGTATAAATCCCTAACTTCTTTGCTTCCAAAGGGTTGAGATAAAGAGATCCTTTTTCCTCGTTTTTATTTGTTAATGTTGATTGTCTAGCAGACTTCTCTCCAAGGGGTTGGCAAGGAGGGTTTTGAAAGGATTTTTGGTTGGTCTAGGTTATTTTTCCATAAATCATCCTCAATTTTCTGATGATACTTTAGTAATCTCTTCAGTTGATCACTCAAAGGTTCATAGTCTGCTAAATTTTTTAAAATGAATTTGAGGCCTAAAAGATCAATCTTACCAAGGGAAACATAGATCGCTTGGTGGAGGACGCGTCTCTAATTTCAAGCAGGATGGGTGGTGCAAGATTAATGCTTGGTCCATTTCTTATCTTGGGCTCCTTCTCCCTTGTAAGTCGTAACTTTAAGAACTTTTCCTTTTGGGACTCTAATTTTGAAGCAAGTCTGGAAAGTTGAAAAGTGAAAAGCTCATTGTGCTCGAAAGGGAGGCGACTTTACTCTCACTCGAATAATTCTCCAATTCCCCTAACTAGTCTTTGTCAGTGTTCACGATCCCTAACAATGTTACTCTTACTAATGAGATTGAAGAGATATTATTAGAGATTCTCTGGAATGGTCTAACTTGGATTGAGGTTCAAACTTAGATAATTGGAATAAAGGTTCTCTCCTTGTAGATCTTGGTAAGAGTTGTGCATTGGTTGCTTGAAATAAGAGTACTCCCTTTTCTAAATGGTTTTGGAGGTTCACGGGAGCAAGATTCTTTATCGTGTGAAGTAGTGGTGAGTAAATATGGTGTCTTTATCGTGTGAAGTAGTGGTGAGTAAATATGGTGTCCCGACTACCATTCTGTTGGGATCATATGTGTATGCTAGTTTTAACTCTAAAGAGCCTTTAGAATGCTATAATATGGGCCTCAGAAAACATCACATTGGTTTGGAAAGAACTAGGTTTGCTTTCCCAAGTTATTTGAACCGTGCCTTGACAAGTATGCTAAGGTGGTCAGGTGTTGGGATTGTCAATATTTTACCTAGATGTTTGTTCTGACAAGTATCTAAATTATTATGAAACTTGGAAGATTAAACACTCTTGATAAAGACAGGTTCGATTCCCAGGTATTCAAAAATCTATCCCTAACTGGTGATCATGCAAATCTAGTGGAGAGATCACGGTTAATTTATTTCTCACATGTCCTTTCTATCTTCATTTTGGCTGAAGCATTTTGGAGGTCTTCAATCATGATATAATCATCTTTAGCTCCTTTCATAGTTTTTCCTCTTTTTTCTTTTTCCAACAGTGGTTATTGGTATCATCCTACTGTAGTATTTGAGTGGATTTCTTACAGTGGTATAGTTATGTAACTAACCTACTTTCTCATAACAGAATCAAGCGAAGAAAGTCTATACAACTATTACCAACCCAGCCCCTAATCCTTTCTAAGCGAGAGCCAACTACAATATTCTTCTTTTTTCTAATGACTGTTAGCCAAACCTGTTAATGGATAGTGGTTTTTTACTAATGTGTAGAATAATGGATAATTGTTTCTGTTTTATAATTTAGTATATCAGAACTTTTGTTTTCTGTGCAGTTCTCAAATTTCTTTAACTGGCTTATAAGATGTATAAAACTACTTATGTCGGAGCCAAGCGATCAGCTTCTACCATATAATAGGTAGTTCTCTCTCTCTCTCTCTTTCTTCTGGATCTAATGACACTTTTGGTTCGGTTGTGAACCCCCTCTGCCTGATATAGCTACACTTTTGACTATTGCAGTGAGCTTGTTATCATTTTCTTGAAGTTTTTGTACAATCAGGACCCTGTCAAGAAGCTGCTTGAAGCATCTGAAAATGACGACAGTATTGAGATTGACTTGTGAGTTGTATTCTTGTAGTCTCACATGTAAAATATAACTGTGTAATTTATGTGTATTTGTCCATGGACTCGATGGTAAATCCTTGTGCAGAATTCTTTTTTTTTTTTAATAGGAAACTTAAAGATATGTATTAATCACACAAAAAAGGTTGAAAGACAGTCTAAGGGCAAGGGGATGAGGGGGCCCCTTCCCAAGAAAAGCTAAGACAAGAACGTCACCCAATTTTGGAGGATTGAACAAAGGGAGTAATTACAAAAGAGTTTGCTATAAGTGTAGCACCACCTTGAAGTAGTAAGCTGAACATTACTCCAAAGATTACACATATCAAAAGAAGTATCCTCGAAGATTCTACGGTTTCTTTCTAACCACAAATTCCACAAGGCCACAGCCCCCCATAGTTCCATAGGGCTCTCATAGCTTTTTTTGTAACAGCCACCGAGTAGGGCCAGTAGGCATTGGGAGAGCCAATCATCTATCTTCTCTGTTATGAACCAAACCGTGTTGAAAAAGCCCATGAGGCGAGACCAGCATTTGTAGGTGAGAGGACAATGCAGGAAAAGGTGGTCTAGGGGCTCAGCCTCACAAGTGCACAGGGGACAAATGGAAGGGGAGAGGGCCCAACTTCTGTATCTCTTCGGTAGGCGGTTGTGATTTAATGCTAACTAAACAGTTGTTTTGTGTTAGGAGGGGTCAATAAGAAGGCTTGACTGTCGTTTACCAGGTAGTTAAGGAAATCAATAAGAGAAATTTTAAGAATATAAAACAACAGTAAACTAAATATTTAAATGAAACATAATGTTTAACTAATGCTATAAATGCGTATTCATCTAATAATAATATGCCTACATCTTTTTAATTTTACTCTCCACGTTCTACTAAAAATTAAAAAAATTTAATCTTGACATTGAAGATGCAGATATTTATTGTTTTCTTTATCAAAAGAGGGAGTGCATAAAAGGTAGATGGTATATCTCAACCACATGGTCCATACCAAATGGATTGCAATTGGCGAAGATTTGTGTTACATCATAATTACAAAAAAATTGAAACAGAATATTCTTTTTGTTTCTTTCAAAGCAATCTCCATAAAAGGGCTATCACCCTGTTGGACCAAAGGATTTTTGCTTGACTGCTGAAGTAAGTTCTACTCATGAGCTGAACGAAGGCATCTGAATCACTGTTGGGGAAACACCTGCAAAATTTGAAAATTCAAAATAAGTCATACCAACGAGCAACTGCATAAGGACAGGTGAAGAATAGGTGCAATATGTTTTTCTCAATCATCCTACGTAGGACACAATTAGGGGATATTGACAGAGTTGGCATTCTTTTTAGAATTCTAGGGCATGTGTTCAGCCTCTCAAACACAAAAATCCACCGAAATACCTTCACCTTCTTTGGAACCTCAGATCACTGGATCATATTTACACTAGGGATTAAGGTAGGCATTCTAATTGATAAACTTGAGGATTAAAGATCTAACCATGAAGACTCCATTCCTTTCAAGCACCCAACCTTCCGGATCTTATCTGTTATTCGGGGTAAAGACAGCTAAGGATGAGGAAATATTTATTATTACTTTGAAGGATATTTGGACACATATTTGAGGAAAATGCTTTGCAGAAAGGTTACAATCATAATATGCTTTACAACAAATATTAAAATGTTGAGACATGCCTTGATCTGCCCCTGCCATTTTCCCTCCCCTTTTCACTAAATTTCTTCTTTCTTAACCTCCCCTCCACCCACCCATCCCAAGACGACAAGATAAAGTATAATGCTTAAAGAATTATTATTTATGTAGTTTAAACAATTAAGTTATGCACATCTATTCTGCATTCTTTTAGTTAGCTCTCAGTAATCTCTAGTGAGTTTGCCTATAATGTCATGCATTTGTTTATTCTTGAAGAATGAACATGTTGTTCTATAGGCTGAACGTGATGCAACTGTGTCAAGTTCTTAGAAGCATTCATAATATTTCCTTGTATATTCTTGTGGGACCAACACCGATGTATTTCTTTATTTCCATTAGTAAATTGATCTTCTATCATTTTCTGCAGGGAAATTATTGAAAGAGTAAGAGAATTAACTCTATTTGGGGGATTCTCAGATTGTGGATTTTTAAGGAGAACGCTTGGTATGGAATTTCAGCAGATGGAATCTAGGTATTCCTTTTCTTCCATTCAGCTGGTCTCTATGAATTTTTGCATTAATTAACCATTCATAATATGGCAAGTTCTGACAATTTGGAACCACGAAAGAACTTTGAGTACTGGATTGTGATTTTAATGGTCCAGTTTTGATTTCTTAGAACGTGATAATATCATCTTTCAACATTGAAGCATAACAAAACATATCAAGTGTCTGAATCATTAACCGATAGATTAGAGTTAGACCAAATTGTAGGTTTAGCAAAATTAGAGTTTCAAGTTGGTTACAAAAGCTAAAAAAAATCAAGTATGAGATTAGGATTCCAACTCTTAGACCAAGGGAAATCAAAACACAGGAGATGGATTGAAATAAAAGGAGAGCGCTTAAGATGTTGCGCCTTCATCCTCAAGGAGGTTGAGAGAAAAGGTGCAGCAACACTTTGTTGGGAGAAGGGGGAGAATGACTAAGGTACAATTTCTAGAACCTTTCACGCACATAGTTAAACAAACGAGGTGCACTGACACTTTCTTTCAAGCAAGTCATAATTGTTAACCGTTTGCTTTGAACATATGTGGAACTTCACTGATATCCACTACTACACACTCATCCTACAGCCGAGCTGCCTGTCCTCATATCTGCAAGCAATAAACTCATGATCGAGCTTTCACACTGATATACATGTAAAAGATAGTCAGAGATCTGGATAGTTGTTAATTTGCATGTATTGTACCCCTTATATCTTTAGATTGATATCTAACCAATAAATTTACTTCCACAGTTTTAAGGAAGCTTTCCTTATGCCCTTTAGTACAATCTCAAGGAAAATACTTTGTGAAGACCTGTTGTCCCTGTTCCCCTTTCAATCCTCGTCTAGCTGCTTGTCTTCCAGTGTTCCTCTTTCAGTATCATACTATGAGGTATTTATCCTGCTATTGAGCACATTTTACTGAGATGTTTGAGATCCAGTCATATTCTCGTGACGATGAGACTGTCATGCTACTTGCATTGTTAAATATAAAGTCTATTTTTCATTACCACGACTCACTGCATTTTCCAAAGGCATGAAATGACGTGATGTCCACCAGTGTATACTGTTGAAGAATTTTTTTGATTTGTTAATTTACTTTTAAACCCCTATGTAGGATTCCTCTGAAGCTGTTTTTGCCCCTCAGAGTTGTCAGCAGAAGTTTATCGATTATATATCTTTCAAAATCCCAGATGACTCTTCTGCAGATATTGCAAATTGTGTAGGCATAGCCAGGGGATTTGTTCATGATCTGAGCTGCTCAAACGAGGATTACTCTTCATTTGAAGCAATCTTAGTATCTATTCCTGATGGATCCAAGTGTGTTGATCTGTCTTTGTATAAGGTAAAAGTTTAAGTTCAGCAAACTTTTATTCTCTGCACACCAATTGTGAAAAAAAGAACGTAAAAGTGGATAGAAATCCTGTGATTAATCTGTGCATTAACCTATTTGGTTTATACAGGATGGACAAATTGTTTTGTTATTAAATGAAACTGCTTCTACTTCTGAAAGCTGTGTTAGTTCCTATATGATGGTTGTGCAAGCAAATGACCTTCCATTTGCACCTATGTCAAGATCTCCCAGTCTGGACGATTGGAAGGTTCATCAACTTAAGGTTTTCTCTTGCTTAAATCTCATTGATCAGATTCATCACGAGTAGATAGTTTTTCATATTTCTAAAGTCATTGCAGAAAGATTATTTCATGTTTGTTTCATAGACTAATTTCTGAAAAAATGGTCATGTCCTTAATGCACTGGCTTAATCTGTTTCCAATATAGATATATATATATAGTCGAACTTAATACCATGGGGCCGTGTTGGTAATTACAACATCTTTTAATTGTTTCTTCCCCAATCTTCTTCATCGGATATACTTTTGTTCGTAACTGTGGAATAATGCTCTATATGTTCATTAGGACTATGTTGTCCCATTGCAAATGGAGAATGAAAAAGTCCGCAACATTCCTCATGCTGTTGTTCCTCCTCTGGCTGTTAGTGGTGAGTGTTCATCATTGTATATATTTTCTTATCATTTAAAATGATAATGGAGTTTTAGGACAGTTAATATCTGAGAGTTGTAGTTTGTCGTATGATAAATGATTAAAAGGGGCAGGTCTGGTAGTAACTTTTTGAAGATCGTCTAGGACAGCTCTCAGGCCTATGAAGTGGGACGCTCTTTAACTCAACAGGCTGTAGTGAGACTAGTTCTCAAGATTGAATGTCTTGCCACAAGACAAAAAATGAAATATAATAAACAAGATCACTGTTATTCAAATGGAAAGACGAGTAATCACTAACGCTTTACTGACACTCCTTGATTTAGCTGCCATGTAAGTAGGTGCACAAATGGCATAGTAGAGAAAAATGTCCCATTAATTTTTATTAAACACATGCAGCAAGCGAAGTTTACAAACATATTTTTCTGGTAAATTTTGTGTAGCTACAGAATTCTATTTATGAGACTGCTATAAACACAAGCATTTAGTACTTTGAGTAGGTAAAGTTGAGCCATTAAGCTGCTAAAGGTTGTGAAATTTCCTCTACTTATTATTGTACAGCATCCAGAGGAGTGGCTTGTGTTTTTGGTGCAAGAAAACGTGCACTGGTCTACATCTTAGAGGAAGATGAAGATGAGGCATCAGATGCTGAATGAAATGCACTCAATGGTTTGTATTTTTCCCTTTTTAGCAAAATTTTGTGTTAAGTTTTTAGTTATTAAGTTTATCTTCTGCTTTATTACACGCGAAGCTCCTGTGCTTATATATTTATTACTGACTTTTCCAACCTTTTTTCAATTTATTTTTGACAAAACTAGTTAATTGGTGTATGGTGTATAATTAATTAGGTCTAAAAAATACTTGTAATCATTAAAAGAGAAATAACTTAAATGCTCCTTTATAACATTTTCCTATCAACCTTTTAATATCTTTAGTGGGAGTGGGGTTTGAACACATGCCTGTTTTAGTTGGAGATATATTTCTTAACTAGTTGAATGGTTCAGATTGGCAAAATTTTCTTTTTTTAAAACTTATTGAACAAGTTAAATTACATGTCTATCTTTTACATTAACGTAACTTAATTTTTTCATAAAACAATTGAAGAAGATTCGGAAGCCGTGGTGGTTGATGTAGAATTTTTGTTTCGAGGGAGAATTCACTCAATGACAGATTTAGATTTATGTTGAGGCACAAATTTATATAAAGATAAATTTGGAGGTATAACTTTTGTTTCAAGGGAGATTTCACCCAATGACATTTAGATTTATGTTGAGACAAATTTATACAAAGATAAATTTGACAACGCTTGGGAGAAAAAGATACATTTTTGGAGCCCTCTAGGAGATTGACGAATACTTTTTTGATCTGAGATTGGGAGTACTGTGTTGCCCAAATCTCTTGCATGCATTAACTCGACAAATTTTCTGATTTGTCTCGATAGAGAAGAAAAGGTAACAAATTTGAGGGTTACTCTTGGAAATATGAGAAGTAAAACTATATTCTCTTTTTGTGTAATATAGAGGAAAGATAACAAATTTCAGGTCAATTATATTTTTATAAAAATGTGATTTTATACATTTTTAAGTAAATAAAAATGATAATCTTTTTTTGTTGCAAAAAATACATTTATACAGCACCCACGCTACTCAGCTAGAAAATATTTCTCTAAAAACACTCGGGAGTAGTGAAGATCGAAGATTGTAAAACAAAGTCCTGGAAATTAAAAAATTAAACCAGTAGAAAACAGAAAATGTGCCATAAATTGCATCAAAATCTTTCCCGACATATATAGCAACTTATCTTCAAAATAAGATAAAAAAAAATGAATATTCAAAATTTCAAATTCAATGCAACTACAGCATCAGAATTATTAACACAATAGAACGTAGGGGTGGGTCTCAAAATCTAGCTGCGTCCAATTTTATTCATTTTTAAAAATTCATATTGTTTGACACTTTGGATTTCACAGGGGAAACCAGAAGAAAAACTGATGAATGCTGAGATACACTACTAGCACATTGCTATAAGCCACATTGCATGCTTCCAATATAGAACTAAGATAACTTTTTTAACACTTAGATGGATTTAGATGTGTTGTTTTTTCTTCTTGGAACTCTGCATCCTATTACCTGTGTATCTCATCAAAAGAAAAATTGGACTTCTAGTTTAAAAAGTGGCCAAACCTTTTACACAACCCTCAAATAACAAGCCAAAAATTGCTCCTCTGCGTATTCTCATGAGATAACATATCAATCACATCATTTTAAACATTTTGTAAAGAATGAGCAAAGTGATGGTTTAGTTACCTATTTCTTTTTTCTTCCTTTCTTTTTGTCTCGTTTACTTCGGGGCTTCGGCCTCGACTTCTGTTTTGCAACTTTCTTGAATGGCTTCTTCTTGGTAATTGGCAGATTGTGCTTCTTATCCTTTGCAACCAATTGGGTTGTTGCTGTCTGTGACTTGTCGATGGGACAGATTTCTCCGTCACGAGATACCTCACTTGTTATCACTGTGACTTTGATGTTACCACTGTCGTACGTCGTCGTCTCTACAAAGAAAACCACAGCCTTGGGATCAAAACTACATGACAATTTCCAATGTTAGGTCGAAATACTTTCCAAGTTCCAGAGTTCATACCCAAAAAAATAAAAATAAAATAAAATTTAAGGCTTGAAGACTGTTGTTTTCTTTTAAAGAATGCATTATCAATGTTATAAAATTAACTTTTACCAACTAATTTTTCATAATTAACCTGACTTTTAGCTTCCTTGTGAAGAAAAATAATGTCTGATCTGATTCTTTAAGATGGACATTTCTTTTTTCCCCGAGTATTATGGCAGAACTTGCAATTATTATTATGTCATCTTTCTTAATTGAAGAGACTTGTGTTTAATATGCAATTTTTTTGTAAAATACCAGAAATTGGGGCAAATGGCTTCTCTTCCTCTTCCTCGTGATCATCATTCTGCTCATCAACCGGCCGATCAGCTGGTAGAATACCACCATATAGCACCAGCTCTTTTTCTTCTTTTCTCTACAAGAAAATTTAGGACATTTACAAAAGAGATCCCAGATGCTCAGAAGAAAAAAATATATACTCTGAAGGCAGTTTTCTTTCTTGTTTCTTCTGTCATACACAACTTATGTGATAAAAAATGCAATACATACACGACTATATAGGAGTATTTCAGTTGGAGAAAAACCAAATGCAGTGTCTCACAGCTTAAATCACCTCCCCTAACCCTCCATCCCACGACACTCCCTAACCATGGTCTGTAATCTGTATCATTTGTGGCAGTAGTATGGTCAAATAACAAAGCCATTTGAATTTTTCCGAAAGGAAACCATCTGACATTTCTACTTTTCAAGAGGTGCCCAAACTTAAGTATGCCTTCTAATTTTGTTATACCAATGAACATACAGTTAAGTTCCGACATCATTGCCCGCAGGTCTGTGAAAGAGAGATAAGTGCAAGTCTCCTAAACACCAGACGTGACCTGTGAAAGTAAACATTGAAGTGAATTCATCTGACCTAGAATAAATCCTAGGAGGCACAACAACACGTAATTGGCATCTTTAGTTCGTAGCTAGCCTGATCTCCAAAATCCCCAGGGATTCTTAAACTTGCTATAACTTATGGAGTTTGGTTCTTCTGGCCCCTGAGAATATCTATGGTTCTGCAGTTCTGTTGGGACAATCTACAATCTACCAGCAAAGATTTCTTCATGCGCAATAATAAGTTCGCTAAAGGCTAGAAAAGTGTATTGTTTTTCCTTTTATAACTCTCCAAAGTTAACTTCCCAAGAACAACATAGTCATTCGTTTCAGCAATTTCTTTTTTTTTTTTTAGAAAAATAGAATATTTTCCAAACCTTTTTGCGCAATTCGATGCGCTTCCGCCGCTTCGCTTCCTCTTGCTGCTTCTCCGCTTCCTTTCTCCTCTTCTTCTTCCTCTTATGAAATCCAGTTACATAGTCCCTAAGGAAAATCCAAGGCAATACCAAAGCTCAAAAACAAAAGTTAACTACAACTGGAAAAAGGATATAAATCGATAGCAAACAAAAATCTCCAAATTAACCGATTTAGTTTTAAGGCAAACCTCAAGTCTTTCTCATTGAAAGAAACTGCAAGAGCTTTGTTCTTGAGAGCTCTCTTCTTTATGTGGCGACCACGAGGTTGTGCGAGCTCACCTCCTTCGTCCCCGTCGTTCTTCACCATCGCACCGTCCCTGCTTCACATGCTCGACGGCGGACAATCACAATTTAGCGGGACGGGGCGGATGATTGGGTCAGTGGGTGGGCTTCACATCTATGAATTAGGCCCAGCCCAAATTAAATTACACAAACTCGTCCACATTTATTTATTTATTTTTATTATTATTATTATTTTGCAAAGGTATATATATATATATATATATTTTCTTATTATTATTATTATTATTTATTTTTTTTTTTTTTTTTTGAGCTTTTGACGGGATAACTGCATTTTCTGTCCAACCTGATTTTTATGATAGATTAACGTATTAGCAATTTCACCTCTATATTTGTAATACTATATTTTAACAGCTTTCATTTTAGAAAAAATTGTCTCCCTTGAAAAGTTAATGATATCTAAACCACCAAAATAGTTTTAAAAAGATGTAATCTAATTTAAATTTCGCGGTCTTAATAAAATTACATGGTAGAGAATTCCGATATTATATTAATTTCATATTTTAACTTTATTTAATCATAGTATTTTTAGAATACAAGTGTGGAAGAGATTTCAACCTCAAACATTTAAAGAGGCAAAATTCAATTGACTATTTGATCAAGGTTACATTATTGAAGGAGGGATAATTTTGTGCATTTTTGTTAAATTAAAGTTATGGTTGAGAGTGATTGTGGTTGGAATCACTTTCATTTTAAAATGAACATGCGTGGACAACGATTAAGAAGTGATTTTAAATCATTTGGGAGATGATTCTATAAATTTTTATTAAAAAATAACTTTCTATAGAAATTAAAATTTTTGTTTTGAATTTCAAATTTATTTTCTCTATTTCACCTTATTTTCGCCTTAAATTTTAAGAAAATTTATCATTTTCCTTTTTAACTTAAAGTTATTTATCTTTAATTTGCCCCCACAATTATTATAATCCCTCCAAAACTTTAATCCTAAAATTATTGAGATTGATTATTTAGATAAATATCACACTTATTTTATCAATTACTAGTGTTAAATAATATAATTGTTCTAAAATCACTTTTAAAATCTATTTTTTCAAAATCACTAATTCTACCATCCCTCAAACACATCCTTAATCATTCAAATTACTTTAAATTATATAAAAATTACTTCAACAAATGTATAACTAAACATTAATATAATTATATAAAAATCACTTGTCACTGAAATTACTTGTCACTGAAATCTCTTCAACCAAAATCACTCGTTCTAAAATCATTTTTAAACATGCTCTACTATGCCTCCAATCTGCCTGCTACCTCTAGTCCACTAGGCCACATTTCATATACAAATGGCTCAACATTGTCCAAATTCAGTGTGTAGTAATTGCAAGCTTAAAGAATTTGCTACAACAAAAATCCAGAATGACAGAGGAAGAAAAATATTCCTCCACCTCGTGAACTTTGCCACATACACTTGGGATCACCAAGAAATGTAATCAGTGCCAACTTGAAAACCAGTTTCCATTTCAACTGTACTGAGAAAATCAAAGGTCAGGTGTTAAAAATTCTGCATGAAGGTATTCATTCTATGCTGCTTCCTAATGTCAGATTGTTGATTTAGTAGACAATTTCATCGGTTCAGTTTCCTGCTCAGCAGTAGCACTCCGCTGTCCTCTAAAACTACTTATAGAAAGTGGGTTTTGTCTGAACTATAGGTTTCTCAATCCTGATTAACACTTCCTAACGCTCTTTATGTACAGATTTGCAAATGGATGAAGTCAGCGTGGATGAATGTACAACAAAAACTGACCCCCAAATGCAGTGTATGTGATGAATATATATATATATAGTACCCGCATCCGTATGTAGCAGACTGTTTTACTTCACCCCGTGGCTGACATGGATGCTGAAGCCTTGAAGGACAACGTTGCAGGACAGTCCTTATCCACATCTACGTTGCTGCTGAGATCAATGCCATTGCTACTATTATTCCCACCTCTATGTTCACGTTCTCCTCCAGGTTCTAATGGATCGCTTGATGAACTTCCGCTACCGCCAGAGTTCGATCTCTGCTGCTCAAGGAACCTGTCCCCAGTGTCTGGAAGCAATTTCATCATGCTTCCTGAATCAGAACCTGGTGACAGCTCTTCCTCTCGCTCAGGCTGCATATTCAAATCGATTTGGCCTTTAAAAGGTGAACTGGAAGGCTTGTTCCTATTTGGATCGTCATCGGAGCCCTCATTTATTTTTCCCTCCTCAATCAGCTTACTTGTACTAGTATTACTACAAGTAAGAGATTCATCGTCCATGGATCTATCGAGGAACAATTCATCTTGAAATTGATACCTTTGGCGGGTAGTTTCTGCTTCTTTTTCAGATTGCTTTTTTTCACGTCGCAGCATTAATGTTCGAAAACGACGCTTTACTGTCAAGCACACATTACAGGTGCAGGTCTGCTTATGTTTTGGTCCCTTCCCACTTGGAGGCTGAATGCATACTATGCATGAACATCCCGGTCTATGGCGAGGGTGCTTTGTGGTGGCCTGGCCAGGTGACTGGATTGCCTCGCCCTCCCCTAAGATGGCTAAATTTGCAAGTGTGTCAAGTCCCTCCAGAGCTACAACATTATCTGGTTCTAGTTTGGAGGCCTTCATTTTCTTGACAGCAGCGGCTATAAATAGCAAACAAAAGATTAAGAAATTGGTATTGGATATGAAACAAAATATTAATAAGAGAAATGGACAAAAAATCAGAGAACAATCTAATCTAATCAAATGACTTGGCAATTGGGAATTGGTATTCATATATGCATGAAGATGCGGTAAAAGGATGTAATTATATTTGTTTTGAACAATTCAGACCTGAATTGCTAGGGGATAGCAGTTCTTCCAGCTGCTCTGTTGACAACTCTTGTGCTGCTGAGCAAATAGATCTAGGGGCAAAGAGAATTACTTTAGAAAACTCCACAGAGGTTGTATTCTGATTATGTCAGAAGCACCAAGAAAATCCCTCCCAAAAAACTCCCACAAATACATTTTAATCCTTTCCTCCCATAGAGGGCCTGGAAAGGGAAACTGATGCTAAGGACACGTGAGAGAGCATTGCCTCCGGAATAGCAATTCCCATTTTATTTAACAAATGACATTGAATAATGAACCTTTGGTACTAGTACCTTGATAACATGACTACTGGTCCAAATGAAGAATGAATATTGGAGAAAGTAGGAGAAAGCCACTCCTCTCCACACTACACATCCCGCGAGAGAAAAAGAAAAATACTACTCTGTCCTCACTATCATAGTTATCCTTATGATAAAAGACTCAGAAATCAATGAGAATAATGTAGCCTTTCTACCTCTCAGGATCCCATGAGTTGTCCGAACAAGTCCATTTTGACGGAAGAAGAGCACTGACGGGCAGTTTCCGCCACTTCAAACAGTCTTCACATTGCGTCCATTGAATCCTTTCACTGAAAATGAACCACAGTCGTTGAAATTTGCACGAGGATAATAAATATTCTACTTATAGGGTTGTCAATGCTATGAACGGTAGGATGCCATAAACATAGGAGGAAGAGAAAAGCTATAAGATATATACATCCTTGAAGTGTGCACACACAAGATTTAATCAATTCAGATAACAGACACAAGTTTTAGAAACAAAAGGAGAAATCAACCAGGTCTGCCCCAAGTATACAAAGCACACAACCCCAACTCCAAAATAAATTAAAAATATCCAGGGGGGAGAGAGGCATTCAACATACATCCTATACATTGTGACAAGTAAGTAATTTTCATGGACATCCTTACATGTAGAAGAGAGTTCCAAAAGGAAAATGCACACCATGACAGTGGCACAAACAAGGTACACGAAAGTCGCCAAAAAGGAGAAGTCATTTACCCTGTACCATCAGGAGGTATAATTGTTGGCTTCCCAAGTATAGGTGCATCCTGTAATAACATGAGCCAGAATATTGAGGTTACCATCACCCTGTAATCCATGCGGCATAAAATATACATCACATAGATACACTAGTGACTACTATGCTAATCTTAAAAATAACTTGCACACCACTTTGAAAATTGAACCTTGGGCGCCAGATGAAAATCACTGTCGCACTGCAGCAAAAGCTGCAGCCATATCATGGTGAATCTGAGCCAAACATTGGCTCAAAGAGAAAGGTAACTCTCCAAAATGATTGATACCATCATTGTAATTCATGACATAAATTAATACAATTTCTGGATCCAACAGCAGCGAAGGACATTTCAGACATGCCTTCAGAACGCTTGAATAAGAATGCATAGGATCATAGCCGAAGTATTCCATTCAGTTATGAGCACCAAAAGTTTGGTCATAGAAGGATTCATTAACTTTCGCAAGGGGATGAAACTAATAATAAATATGTGGAGTCAAAAGGTAAATGGCTCTCAAAAGTCATACCTCATATTCCTCAAATTCGAAACCTTCAATGACCACAATACTAGGAACTTGGTTTGGAGGAGGCCGAAGCAATCCTTGAGCTTCTTCCCAAGTTATCTTCAACTCAATCATGTCTTCATTTTCAATTCTAAGGCGCTTACTCTTTGAACCTAAGGTGCTATTCTTCCTCTTTCTAGAAATCGAAGGTTTGGCTCCCAATGCCTCTTTCGCTATGTATCCAGACTTGTCAACTTTTGTCCACGAATTAGGATCTGCCAGTTCAGCCTGGTTGATTTATGAAAAAGAAGGTAATCCATAGTTATTATTTAAGTAATGGATAGCGAATGAAACTTTACTGACTTTAAAAATTAATACTACTGACATCTCCATGCATAGGAGCTCCATTCTTAGTCTTGCTTGTTTCATTTTCCTGTTAGGGAAAAGAAACAACCAATTGTTAGGTAAAAAGAAACATTCTTTTTTAATGGAAAAGAAAAAATTGGGAACTAGATATGATCTAGAAAGTATGACCACTCAGTAAGTTACTTAAAAACTGCATGACTATTACTTACTCAATAAGTTATACATGCGAGTATTTGCAGATAGGCATCCACATTCTCGTTTGGCAGCTTACAAATCATAATTTATTTAGACAGCATGTTCATCATCTCCAGATAATTAACCTTTACCTCTTCCATTAGTTATGTTCAATTCAAATTAGACCTTGCAATGGGTCCAAGCTTAAAAAGCACTTGATATATATCTATGTCTCAAATCAAGTTATGATGTCCTTGTAAGTGTAACTTCGGAAGTCAGAAGGTTGCCCACTTTATTGCTAAAGCAGAAAAAAAGTCACCCACTTACTATATATTCCTTTTTCAAAATAGCTATGAATCCTTTTCAGGAACAGAAGCACTTTTCATTGAATTAGTCATAAGTTGCAAACAAAATATATACAACTCGTGCTCAGAGTTTAGGACTCCAGTCAACATTAACTAAATTGAAGGATAATCACAAAGGGAATTGTAAGTGTGCACTAACAGGACGCATAATAGTTTGCTAAATCAACACTTCCTCCAATTGTGCACACTTTCCTTCAAAAATCCATGGTTTCCTTCATATTTTATCCCCTAGGTGATTGCCTTTATACCATTAACCGATAGTATTTTAGCCCTACTCTTAGTTTCAATATTTGGTGGATCGTGTTCAATATAATACTTTGTGAAATGGATCTTAAGTCACCTTAACCATTGAGACACCATTTGCATCTTTTTTTTTTTTCAGTAAGCACTACTGTCAACATTTTCAATAGTCTATAACTGAAAAAATCAATTAGAATACTCTAGTTACAGTCTCACGTGCAAAATTATAGCAAATTGTATGTTTTTAATATGGATTGATAGCCCAAAAGAAGTGAATAATAAAAGATCTTTGTGAGAACAGATCCAATACAATATGTTGAATACAAAATATTGCATGACTTTCATATCCTAATGCCATTAAGATGTCGGATCTCACTCAACATTTTTAACATACACAAAAGCCATAAGCTATCTTGAAAACGGAAAACCTGATCAGCGGCTGTTGAGGCCTTTCTGAAACCCATAACCAACTTCCCTTCTGGCTCTAGCCGACTAAATGTCACTGAGGACAAGGAAGGTAGTTTCAGTTCGTACATGAGTGAAATTGCACGCAATATATCATTTATAAGAAAGGTTTAATACATAACCTACAGCAATCAAAAAACTGAAGTAGTGAACCCAGAATCAATTAGGGCTTGTTTGATAAATATTATGGAGCTATTTGGCCATTTGTTTGGCAGAATACTTTTTGAGAACCAGTTTAAAGAATTGTAATAGGGAGGCTCCTAAAAGCAACATTTGAAATCAAAGCAAGTCTATAACTTTTTGAAAGAGAAGTAAATTAAATTGTTCTAATAAAGACCACATATGAGAATAAAATTCAAGGAAAAAACCATTTTTTAAAACAGTTACCAAAATATGTCACTAGTTAAAAAAATAATTACAAAAACTGCTTTTAGACTATACCATACTACCAAACAGCACTTTTGGTTTTAGTTTTACGTATTTTAAAAATAGGATGAGGACTCTTTATTAACGATTTTTACATTTTGTAACATACCTTTTAATTGTTCTTCACATCTTTCCCAAGAATTTTAAAAACAAACAAGGTAGTTTTCAAATATATGTTTTATCATTTGAACTTTGGTTGAGAGAGGAAACAGAACATAGAAATTATGAGTAAACAACCTTCATTTTGAAAACACAAAACTTAAAACAGTACGATCATGCTGGCTGGCCCTAGCAAGTTAACAGCATTGCAAGTGTCAAAAAAGTTGCAAAGTTCTTTCACCAGAAAAGAATCCCAGAGGGGCCCAATGCCACCTCAAACCAGGTTTTTAAGAAACTTTGATGTCTAATTGATAATGAGAGGATTTATTGTTAGCTGCATACCTATGTCACCTGCTTGCAATTGCATGGACTGTATGCAGGGAGTAACCCCCTCAAGGACGTACATCCTGCTATTGTTATTAGGCCAAAAACGAAACTGAAATATCCATTCCTTTCCTTTTGCATCCTGTACTTTTAAAGGTAATCCCTCGGGCTGGGAGATTGATGGAAAATAGGCCTGCATAATGAAAGGTTATTATAACCAATTTACTGATGACAGAACGAAGACAAAAAGTAGTCATCCATAGATGAAGCAGCAGAATGAAAACGTGCATAACAAACAAAAGTGGTAAGCATTTTCACTAAGCTTGACTATTTACCTTTTAGAACACATTTCAAGTATCAAAATAACAATGAGATTAGACGGTGGCTGCTAAAAAGAATTGAAAGCACTAAAATTCTCAGTTTTACAAGTTTCCTGAAGATGACTGCAGTATACTATAGTATACAACATACGTGTATGAATGGAACTTGCCAATAGAATTAGACTGCAGTATACATGTAGAAGTTGCAAAGAGAATTAGAAATAGTAATAGACACATTTCAATACTATCAGATTTAAAATAAAGAAAAGGGGTATGAAATGAACACACTCGAAAACAAGGACTCACCTCAGCACATTTTTTTGGCAGCACCAAACGCCCAATACGCCCAGCATCACTAGCACTTAACATTTTTTCAAACAATGGAGTAATTACAGAATTTGAGCTTGAAGATTGTCAAGGCTACTAGCTGAATACTAAAAAAATTGACATAACTATGTAAAGGAACTTGAAGATGCTTGAATACCTCACCTAGAGTTTAACTGAATTCTTTGAAAGAGCAAGACCCCCAGTAATCAAAATTACAAGCCTTGAACAACTAAGAGCATCCTATTCATATTTTAAAATTGTCCCAAGATTATATCAGTGGAAGGATACTCGACAGATATTTGTTGCAGCTCTTGGTCAGTAAACCTAGGCCAGTAGCGTGGAAGCAAATAATTCTTTCCAGTTCCACGTGAATCTCCTCTAGGCCTTCCATTGCGAATATGTGTTTCATTAGACGTGTCAGCTCCATTTTGCAAATTGGTATGGATCTGCTTTGGCAGAGGAGATGATGGAGCTGGTCTTAAATGAGTTCCAGAAATCCTACCCCGTACATTCGATTCATTTGGAGGTGCATAAGGAACACTCAAACCATATTGAGTAGTAGATGAATCCTCCTTCACAAAGCTAGACTGCTGTGGTATATTAGAACATGAGCTAGCTTTATCCTCGCATTTAATTCCTCCTACATGATATCAGTATCAGATTTAGCCAACACTTAAGCATTCATAATGTCCAAAACACTCTTCTCAATAAAACAAATGATGACAACTCTATTTTCACATTTTAGTTATTATCTCCCCTTCTTAAAAACATAAAAGATCCAAAAAGAAAGGGTACACACCTGCAGTCCCATTTTCACATATATCCTGTGCACATTGTTTCAGGCTCCCATTCAGGAACCTTTCAGAGAAGTCGTCATTTTTCCTTTTTTCTAAAGGTATGGGCAACCTTTCACTGGTATTGAGTTTGTTAAGGGCAGCTGATATGTCAACTTCGTAAGGTGCTCTATGATGCAATTCACCAGAAGGGAGAGAAGAATTGAACATACTGGGAGCTTGGCGCCATGGTACAGGACCTGATCCAGCCAACTGACTCCAATTTTTCACAGACAGATCTTTTAGTCTGTCAGGTAAAGTTGAATGGAAAAACAAAGATGGTGGCCATGCTGGATTTAGTGGCTGAACCAAAAACGAGAAACATTGAGTTAGAATGTCGAATGTGTTGGTATTCAACCAGGCTATGTTAACTCATAAGCTCAAGAATTACTCCATAAGCCTCACATGCAAGAACCTTATCCTAACACATTAAATAACGAGACAAAAAACAGGAAGGGGTGGTGGGAGAATACTAGTTTAACATAAAGTTCAAAAAGTTCATGCCTAAAATTACAAACTGGAGACTACTTTTAACAGTAAACTACTAGAACCTACTAAAGAAATACTAGAAAGTAAGCCACAAAAAGTAATAGTGAAGGATGATGAAAAGGCATCAAAATTGACTAGAAGCTTGCGGAAGGCAATGGTATATTTGTCCACTTAAATCACATCAATGTAATATAATACTTTTTAGGAACTCGTCTATCAAAATTGGGCAACCAAAAGATCATTATGTCAAAGAAGAAGATATAAGTATCTTCAATGATGTAGGAGAAGGTGAAGCACTATTCAAATTTTGGGAAGAAGTTGAGATTGATTTAGTTGAAATAAAATCTAAAGGATGATCAAAGTCCTTTTTTCAAGGGATGGGCGAGGAATCTTGATGTTTTTAGCATGTGACTTAAAGTCTCAATTTTGTGGACAACCACTTACTTCTTCAGTTGCTAATTTTTTTAGGGGAGTTCTTAATGGAGCCTTTTCCTTTTGCCTACCCTCGAAGATGTTTCAAAGAAGGTTTGAACTTGGCTGCTCCTCCCACTAGTAACGATAATTTGTGCTCCCTTAGAGGATAATTCTTGCTCTACTGGATCTTTTATCGTTTTCCCTATGAGGATCCATCCTTTCTCTCATGGTACTCTCATGCCACTACTGGTGAGGCTATTAAAGTTGTAGAAGAGAATTATTTGGATTTTAGTGATGATTCAATTATTTGTCTCAATAGCATCCATTCTAACTTGAAATGTAATCAAGATGACCTTGAAATTGGGCCTTCTCTGCTTTCTCCTGGGGAAATTCCTCTTCTATTAATGCTAAGCTCATCATCAAGGAAGATCCCATCGAATCTCTAGATATCATTTCAAATTTTTTCAAGCTTACTTCAATCCCCTTGTCTGAGTAGGGGTTTGTTTTCATCCTTCCTTATGGTGTCCGTCGGCTTTCTATGGAATTATAGCACACTTTTGCAGAATTCTCTTGGCTTCATGGTTTAACTTTTGGGATAATTTGCTGTTTTATATCCTTTTGTGCTGGTTCATCAAGAAGGCTAAGAGTATTTGACATCAGAGTTGAAGGGCGGGTTTGGAGTCCTTAAATAGATATTCTACCTTTCTCATCATTGGAGTTCGGGAGTTTGAATTAGTCTTGATGCATCTTTTGCAGTTTGAAAGAAGTATTTTTCATTGCATTGGCTTGTTGTCTAGTCAAGACCTTTGCCAATTTGTTCTTCGATGTTTTATTTTTAGCCTCTCATAATATTGGAAAATTTGTTTTTTATTTGGGTGTTTTGTTTTCTTTTCACTCCCTTGGAAGTTTGTATCTTTGAACATTTCAAGATTGAAAAGTTTGTTTCTTGTTTTAAAAAAATTACTTTATAGTTTAGACCAAGATAACATTAATGGCCAGACTTTAAAAAAAGGAAAAGTTAATGATTGACTTTCTAATTTCCACTTTCACCAGGAGGTTTCCTTGTGAGATCAATGTTTACCAAATACCAAGAGACATGCAATTGCTGCATCAGAATTGAGATAGAATCTCTCGTAAAAAAAAAATTACCACATGTAAAAAGAAGAGTGTCCACAGAAAATTAAAATAAAATAATAAACTTTAATTTAATTTAATTTATTAAAAAAACCCTTCAAATGCCAATATTCCATTCACAAGTCACGAGCAAACGAAAAAGTCAAAAAATGTATGAACACTAAAAAATCTTGATGAAGAATGAACAACATCAAGATGCATCCTTACTAAGATGACATTCTTCCTTGCACATGTCATGCACTCGATACCCCCAGGATCCAATAAGGTAAATGCATGAGCTGAAACAATACATCCACAATGAACCCGCTGGAGACAAAGATTTTTTCATTAGTAAACATGTACAAAATAAGCCAAAAGTAAAGTATGCGAAGATGCACAGTCACATCTTACAAGATAAAGCATATATATGATTGAAATTAACTTTCTTTTTTCTTATCAAAAAAGAAATTAACTTTTTTTCAGCTCACCTTTCCACAGGATTCGCAGCACCTCCAACCAGTAGCATTCAAGTGAAAAGTCTCACAGAATCTTCCTTCCTCATAAGCACACCTAAAATAAAATTGAATTTGAACAGAGTTTTTAAAATTTTCAAAGTCCTATTAAGTACTATTCACAATGTTACAAGAAAAATAACAACTCATACGCATAGGCAAATTTCAATCAAAATAACCGTTCAATTTAAACAACCACCTCATCACAGCCAACCATCATATCATATCTGTTTTCGTCCTACTTTACAGCACTCTTAATCACAATGTGCTAAAACCATCATGTATATAATGGCTATCCCTGTAGACCACATGGACACTTATCATGCCATATATTAGTCATCCAATGTGCTAAATCCATTGGTCAGCACTCTTAATCCGTCATATAAAGTATGGATATCCATATGACCTAATGCGTTAAATATATTATTCAACTTATGTTGTGCGGGGATCCATTTCGAAGATAAATGTAGGATTTTTAGGAGGTGTATGAAACTTTTATGAGCTCTGGGATATTGTATGTTTTATTCATCAATCTTGAAGTGTTAAGATTAGGCCCTTTGCTCGTCGACTAGGAAGAGAATGAATTTTGTGTCTTCTTTCGGCTTTAGGACTGGGAGGATATTACCTTTCTCCGTTTGTATATTGTATATCTTTCTCCATAAATGGAGTCTGTCCGCCCACCACCCAAAAATTAAAGTATCGCAGGATACAAACTACGTACGTAAATAATAGAGCTTCGTACATCAATCCCCAGAACCAGATAACGTAAAACACGGAGATGGTTGCCCAAACTAATAACAAAGAGAACCGCCGAACTCGAAACTAGATTAAGCAGAACCGCGACTGCAACGAATGTCAAAACTATCCTATCTCCTCACATAAAGCGTCGCTCGAACTAAAAAATAGGAGTGAGGGGGGGCAAAAGACGCGCCCCTACCCCTCACCAGCATTGAAACACGCAAACAAAACTCCAAAACACGCCAAAGTAAATCTAAAGCTCAAAACAGGACAAAACGAGTACAAAATGATAGAGGCAATCAATAAAAGTAGAAAGGATTATCAGCTTACGCGCATCGATCACAGAGCTCGGCAAAGTCGCCGGTGCGAAGACGCCAGCCCTTCCTGGGGCGCTCGGGTTTCAATTCCTTACACTCGGAATTATAACAAACTTTAGAAGAAAGAGCGGAGGAGGAAGGAGCAGCGGTGACGGCAGACGACATCGGAGCCCTGAAGGAGGAAGAAGAGGAAGATGGAGGGCATAAACCCTAGAGAGAGCCGAAAAACGAGAGCAGGAAAGTGAGAAGACTTGTAACGGTGGTTGCGACCTGATCTGCAATAATCATGGGACGAGAACCCAACACAGACGAGACCAGAGAGGGTTTGAAGAGAGAGAGAAACGAGAGGACAGCGACGTATTTAAACCCAAAGAACCAAAGAAAAAAACGGATAAATTTGCGCCTTCTCTTCTTTGGAATATAATTTTTATTATACCCAATATAATTACAATATAATTAGGGTTCGTTAGGTCACCATCTCTTTTCATTTCACAATTAATTATATTTTTTATTTTATGTTTATTTTTTTAGAACATTTTAAATTTGCTGTGAAATTTTAGAAACAACCGAAATATATTTTTTTATCAAAACATAAATAAAAATATTTTTATGATATTTTAATTTATGGATGTTGAGGTAATGTAATTAAATTTTTTATTAAAAATTATGAAATGGAAACAAAAATAAAAATGTTACCAAACAGGTCCTTAATTTTTATTATCTCCTTTATTTTTCTTTTCCTTCTTTATATTTCTTTTCTCGTTCTAAGTAATACTACTATTTGTTATGTTTTTTTTTTTAATAAATAGGTTCAAGGTCCAGGTGTGTTTTTGAGTTTTAGGTAGGACAAGTGAAGAACGAAATGAAATTGGCTATTAACGACCCAAACAGATGTCTGCTTGGTCCCAACTTGGAAAAGGCAAATATCAATGTATATAAGCGTCATAATGGCAGGGTATATACATCCCCATTTGATGATTGGTAATTTCAATTTTATGTTTTCCTTTTATTTATATTTAGAATACAAGCTTGTATGTGAATTTGCGTGAGATAAATAATAAAATAAGGTATATTTTTGTTAGGGTTAATAAAATAGTCACTAATTAACAACTATTATGTGAGCCTACTAATATTAGGTTGGTATGAATTAATTTCATATTTTCAAATTTTAAATGGTAGAGATATAAACAAAGAAAAGTGTGAAAATAAGTGAGTTAGATAATATTTAATGAATTTATCTCGATTCTCAACTCAATTTATTATGACATTAGTGATCTCTCCTAGATACTAAAAATGTGGATATTTATCAAATCGAACTTAGCTCAAGTGGTTAAGACACCTGACCAATAGGTCATGAGTTTGAATCCTCACCCCCACATATTGTATTAATAAAAAGGGTGGATATTCACTCCATCGTCCATCGATCAAATAATAAGAATAAAATAAGACTATGTAAATGTTATATGAATTTATCCACATATTTTTATCCTCTTCATTTGATTAAAAAAAATGAATGGTTGGTTTTAATTTTACTTTATAGTTTATACCAAATAAAAAAAGGATGTTATTGAAAATATGAATCAACGTTTTTTTTTATCTAAATTATCGATCATTTGTAGACCAAATTCAAGGTTTAATAGAGGTTGGCATACTTAATTTGAAAATGCCACATGACAATTAAAAAAACAAATAAATTAATAACTGTTTAAAGCTTACGGTTGAATTTTACAAAATAAATAAACCAATTTCAAAGTCTTTATACTAAAATTATACGGTCTAAAAGTCAACAGATCAGGGCAATAAAATTCAATAAGTATTATATTCCATTCTCTTTTTGTATACTTTAGGTTTAAATATTATTTTGGTCAATCTAATTTTAAATTTGGGATTTAGTTTATTTCAAACGTAATTTATGGAATATCTATTTTGATCTCAATATTTTCAATTTTTGTTCATTTTAGTTTTGTACTTTAAAATAATGATTGATTTGGTCTCTATATTTATAATTTATACGCACTAGAAACCATTTAATACAAATTTATAGATATTTTTTTAAAAATGCAATAAATGAATTGTATTTTAAATTTTGTATTAAAATAAATATGAGACGATAATGAAAATAAATGGACCAAAATGATTTTTTTTTTAAGTATAGGAACTAAAACGTACTACTAGGTGAGACATAAGTGTAGTTGTTAAAGAATGCTACCTCTCATATGAATATTAGTTTCAAACTATCTCATTCATTAAATAATCTCAAACCCACAATTTTCTCTAATGAAATACGCAAAATATATAATTAAATATTTATCAATACGTCCATATTTACATTAGAAAAAAACATAAAATTAGAAAAGTAAATAACAATATTAAAAATCATTAATCTTTTCATCACAATGTAAAAGCATCAATAAAATACAAAAGAACTCAACATAAATATCATTAATGGTACAAGTTAACATAAACTTAGCTCAACTAGTTATGATACTTATCTATGATCAAGAGGTCGTGAGTTCAAATTTTTACTATCATATGTTGTACTGAAAAATACGATACTGTTGATAAATATAAACGTTTTTTAAAAATGAGTTTTTATTTTTCATAAAATTGAGAAGTGTGGCTTGAATAAGTTCTCCAAAAAAAGGAAATAAAGCTTCAATGGAACCATGCACTTTTAAGCGTGGGTGAGTTATCCAATTGGTGATGCTTTTGCCGGCCAAAATGCGGGGAAATATATATATATATAAAAATAATAAATAATAATAGTAATACCACGTGGCGCACATACAGAGCGAGTAGAATATAAGTTCACGAGCGAGATTGTCGGTTTATGTGAAAGAATAAATGATGCATGGCCCCGCCCGAGTCATCAAATCGCGTAACCTCCCACTCCAATTCCAACACGCGCCGTTTTTTAAATAGTATTATATTTAAATGCTATTTTCATTTATATAATTTAAACTTTATTTATTATTTTAAAATTAAATAGTTTATTTTCATCGTCTAACTTTCAACTTCTATTCAATTTAGTATTATCTTTCAAATGACTGAGTTTATTTCAACAAAATCATTCATTTTTATCTCACTTATTATAATTCTAATATGTCATAAATAATAACTTTTTGCAACATTGTCATAAATTTGTATTAATTTTTTTTTATTATGTATCAAGTTTGTATTGAAATTTTAAAACGATGACTAAATTGGCCACTTTTTAAAAGTAAATATACAAAAACAGATGTTTTTAAAGTATATAGACTAAAATGAATAAAGTTGAAATGAACGAATGTTTCAAAAGTATAAATGTTAAAATAAATTAATGTCAAAAATACAAAATCAGACGTTTTGAAAGTATATAGACTAAAATGAATAAAGTTGAAAGTACAATAACTAACTGGATGTTTCAAAAGTATAAAGGCTAAAATGAATCAATGTCAAAACTACAGTACCAAATTAATATTTAAACCAACGTAAAACAAACTATATAATTAGACTCTTTGTCATATATCTTTATTTTTTAGTATAATAAAGATAGAAATTGGGGAGTTAACCTCCGACCTCTAAAAAAAAGTAACAAAAAATGTTTGAACCGCTAAATTGTTTAGTTATAGTTAAACCATCTGCTAATTGTATAAAACTATTGTCTAAAATATTGTTTTGGATCAAACTTCTTTTTGGTCAAAGTCGTATATTTACTATATTTTTTGTACCTCCACAGAAGAACCCATGTGACAAATATTGTCCTATTTTTTATATGATGATGCAATGCAATTTTATATATTTTTTATTATATGCTTTTTGCTCAGTGTTGTCATTTGAAAACCGGATTTTATATCTGACGAAGTTTTGAAGAAGTTGAAGTTTTTTCGGTTATTGAATATCAATAATTTATTTCCATCATATTAAATACTGCAAAAAATAAAAATGAAAAAAGTTTGTGGTTGAAAGTTCATAACCGTATATATAATATGGAAGAACACGAGCCTCTCGCCCGGTTGGAAGTAATGAGTCCCGTCTGGTGTCTTAAGCGTAAAGGAACCACACCAATCCATCCCGAACTTGATCGTTAAACTCTAATGTGGTGACCATACTGTAGGGGAGGTAATGCGGAAATATAGCTCGATGCAATTAAATTAGAAGATTGCTAGATTAAGTATGAAAAAAGATGAATGGTAAAAGAAGCCATCATTTTTAAAATGAGTGGAAAAGTAAGTTGTCTACCCAAACAAACTTACATGTTAATTATTACATCTATCACGTCGAGTTTAATTCGCAATTACTTGGTATTTCTATTTTCTTCTCTCCATGTTTTTTTTTTCACAGAATACTCTGCATATTTGGTAATAGGTACCAATTAAAGCAAATGATTATGTTCTTTCTTTCTTTAAAAAAGAAACAAAGAAAATAAAAAAGGAACGTTGACAGATTTTGAGCATCATAAGGAAATTTTGTTGGAATCCAAATAGACAAACTTAGTTTCAATAATGCAACAACAAAATTTTCTTTTTATTAACTAATTTCATCGTACTAATAAAAATAATAATTTCCTTTAATAAATAGAAAGTTTACTGTATTTAATTAATGCCTGAAAAGTCGAACTGCATGGATCTTTGAATCAATATCTATAATCTAAATATAATAAACTTTGGTAAATGGCAACTAAGAGTGAATAACTGTCAAAACGAATATAGTTCAATGGTAGAATCTTTTTCACCTTAATTTTTGTTAAATATAGGATTTTTTTTAATGAAAAACCTAGGATCCAATTATTAATATAAGTTTCTAGAATTAAATAAACTTTTGATATTCGGTTTCTTCTTCCGTATTCTAGGTTTCCGTGACTTCTTTGTGAGATAAAAAAAATGTAAACAAAAACAATATTGTACTTTTTTTAATACACAAAGTGAGTGAATTTAAAAGGCAAAAATAACAACACTTACCTAAGTTCAAAGTTCAATTTGATAAAATTAAAGTTTAGAGTAAAAATGGATACACCTCACAAAGTTTAGTTTTTTTTCCTTTTTCGCTATCACGTTCTATTTTTATTTTTGAGTATAATATATGGAAATGCTAGATCGAACTCAACTCCCATTGGACTCCTATTGGTTGAAGATAGATGTCAAAATTATGCCCGTGATCTATCGCATTCTATTTATTTGAAATAAATAAAAAGAATAATTTAAACTGGATTGGGCTTCACAGTCCTCATTTCCCAAACCACAAGTGTACCACGAGGGACCAATAACCAATGCAACCTCATCTCAATACACAAACCAGATTTAAAACCAAGAGACAAAGTACAAGCAACATTAAACTCAGGAACATCGTATTTGAAATTCTATGGTCGAAGAGAGAAAAAAAAGGGAAAAAAGAACGGTGACACTATAAAGGGAAAAAAAGGAGAAAAAATTACACTGCAAATGCATCCAATAAAGGTTATTAATGTGTCGGATGTTGAGAAATATATGTTGTGAAAATTTAAACCCAATGGAGGTTTGGTAATGAAATGTGAAAGCCATATATAATAGCAAGGAATATAATGGAGTTGAAGACCCCACTTTCAATTAAGATTTAGAAGAAAAAGGACGTGGAAAGTGGGGCATGAAAAACAGTACACAAAATGAGTATTGTCATCAAGCTCAAACCTGCATTTATATCACAGTACAGTACTTGCTGGATGCTGCTGAACAAGCTGCAAAATAGTGCAATACAGTAATAATAATTCATGCAGAGTAATAAGAGAGAGAAGTAACTTTTGGAAGTTTATTACTCCATCAAATTGGAGTTCCTTTTCTCGTGGACTATATACAATAGTGAAACTGAAACAGTGCCAGTACCATCATAATTCTGTTAAAAAGTACCTGTAGAGAGAACCATAATTATCAAGAGATTGCTGGTATAGTGTATTAAGCCTCTGATTATCTGGATATCTTAGTAAACACTCGCGTTTATGGTAAGAAAGTCTTAAAAGATTCCTAATTAAAATAATTCCAACATGTAAAAATTCCATGAACTTTTGTACACACAAAGTCACAAACTACCGAGTTCTTCACCACCTCGTTTCACATAAAATGTACGGTAGAAACAGAATAGGAAAGCAAGCTCCCATTTACCAAATTGGATCACAACTAGCTAAAATTTTCATCATTCTATGATCTTAATCGCAGCCATGTACCAAATATTTTGTTTCCCCACCCCTAGCCCATTCCAAATAAATGATGTTTGAGAATCAATGACAATTATGAATGGCAAATTCCCACGACAGTTATGCACTCAATTTTACCACCTTTTAAATTGATATATATATATATATAAATTATTTCTTTACATTAACGGGAAAAAACCTCCAGTGTTTTGTCTGTTCAAAAACAGCAATAAATTATGATCGAGGCCATTTGATTTGATCAATTGCCAAGGGGGAAAATAGAGTGGCTAACCCTTGATGCACGCTGATTTGAAGTTTATCATATTGCATCAGAGTTTTCTGACCACTCGTGAAAGTTCCCCTCCCTCTGGCTAGGACCTCACCATCTGCGTCTATAATTCCTTCTCTATCTGGCTGCTCAACCTGTACGCCAGGTTTCAAAATAAATGCTTTGACCTGCAATTTAGTTGCCCAACATGAAGGAAATATAAAGGGAAAAATTAAAATAAATTCATAATGCAATGCAAGAGGAACATTCAAGATTTCCATTACAAATGGCGGCCAGCAAGATATGATTGGTAAAAGTTAGGAAACATCAACATAAAACTGAAATATCAACCTTGATATAAGTAACAAACGGTGACTTGACATGCTTTCCATTACTCAAGTCAGACATCAATGACAGCAATGATAATTTTGGGCAGTCTCTGACAAGGATCAAGTCCAAGAAACCATCTGACATCTGCACAGTAATAGGCAACAACGACATTAAATATCATTTTTAAACATGCATATAAGGAATAGAAGTACTTGTAGCATTCCACAGTACCCAACTTAGAGAACTATGCTGTAGGAAACTAAACTACACATACCATGCGCAGAGGGAAAACCTTGATTATTTCACATATTAATCAGGATTGATACCATTGAGAAACTTAATTCCTTTTCATTCTAAATATTGAAATTTTCCAATAAATAATTAAGATGTTGATGAATGACAAAAGCAATATGTATCAATAACTCCTGCAAGACTGCTTTTAATAGCTTTACCAAGATGATATCCCACTCAACTGCCCCAGGCAATCTCTGGTAGAAAGGTAGGTCACTGGAGAAGTTCCAAGTCATTATTTTTATATAACAGGGAGTCGGAGCTTTGCTCTCCCATACCCCGGGCTCCCGCGCCCGCCCCCCGGCCTAAACCTGGAAGACATCAAAGATTTTTAATATTAAGCTCACTCGAAGAAGGTTCAAACTTGATACGTCTAAGTAGGTATGAGTAAGAGAGCTCAAGCCCTTGCCAACAGGACCGCCCTTTGAAGGCTAAGTTCTAAGTTCTAAGTCATTATTTGGCAATTGGATTATCTTTAATGATAGTCTCAATGATAGAATTCTAGCTAGACATCCAAATTGGTGTATATATCCTATCCAAAGGGCATGTGGAAACTGACGACCATACCTTTCAGGGATGTCCTTATACTCTCGCGGAGATCCCTCCAAACCCTTTTGCTGTCCCTCTTCAAGTAAAGCAGAATATGTACATTACTTTCTCTAAAGCCAGCCTTTAAATAGCTAAGATCCTTTGGTTCAATGCTATTAGAGTGACTTTTTGGTGTTTTTTTTTCAATAGGAAATCTTTCCAAGACGAGTTTTGGGATTGGGGAGAATTTGAGGCTCCATCAATTCTAATGCTTCTTTTTCGAAGGATTTTTGCGAGTATTTCCCCTCATTGAATAATCGTGGACAGCCCTTTCTTGCTAAGATTTTGTACATTTCTGTGATTTTGTTTAATATACGAAAGAAACTTCCGAACACCGTTTCTTAGATATGCACTATCATGTAGAAGCAGGATAATATTCCTTAGATAATAACATGAAGCAGGCAGCCAGGCACAATATATCAAATTAGATGGTTCAATCATATTATTGTCTTTATAAAATAAGCAAACCTTAGCATCTGGTGCTGCCAAGGTGTTTTCAGCTCCCCAAGGTACATTGTGCAGCCAGACTGAAATAAAAGGTCCGTCAATTTTTCTCCAATTTAATTCCTTCAAGTTGATATTAGGTCCTTGGTAGCCATGCCGTTGAATATTAATGGGCTCACCCTCACCTAAACTGCCAACATCTACTATGCTATCAGTCTCATTATCGTACCTTGTCTGCTCTCCATAATCTTCAAATCCAGGTGCAGGCACAAAAGAAACACCACCTCTGTAGTGCCTCAAACTTAACATTCGTTGGAGGGCCTAAACACAAGAAAAATTAGCATTGTGACACCACATATTTATTTTGACAATAAGTGAGGGAACCCTAGAAGAATTTGAAGATCACACAATGTAACGGGTTACTCATTAGTTCTATAACAATTAACAATCCAAACACAGATTTCTGTATTCGTTCAGCAGCCAATTGATATTTTATTTGGAGAAACTACACATCATTGTTTTTGTGTGCTTGTTTTGTTGTTGTATATTAACGTAACTGTTCTCACTAAGGTTACAAACACATTGTGACATAAAAAGCATTACTGAAAAATAACAGAACAAATTAAGTATCAAACGTGATCAAATTTTATGAGGTACTCATACATACATAAAAATCCAAGCGAGCACTTCCCATCCACCTATACTTTTCCGACTCAATGTCAATATCTGCCACCAAGCCTGAAATGAATAATTGATAAGGGGAAAAAACAAAGATATTTCCTCTAACAATCAAAAGTGAAAACCAGAAACAGCTGTATCGGCAAGAGGAAAATCTATATATTTTTTCCACGAGAAATGGAAAAGTTAACCTCAACTACACAGTAGATCGCATTAAAGAGAATGATATTTTTATATTGGAGATACCCCAAGCAAGCATCAAAACAATAAAATGTTTAGCCTCTCCTTGCAAAATGGTGGCAACATCCAATGAACATTTATGGCCTGCAAGAAATTAAAGTTTGCAGGCAAAATGCCTTGATCTGAATAAAGTATAATAAGATAAAAATTGGAGATGGGGAAATGACAGGGATTGACAAAACTATACTAACCTCGAATGATGGCAAGAGTCGCATTGCATGCTGTACAAGGATCACCGACTGAATGAAGAAGTGATTTCGCCATTCCATTTCCAGTGCCTATACATATATGAATCCCCAATAAATATTAATAGAATTCTCATTCTTCCTATCATTAGTATGTTAACCATCCACGCAAGGAACCCAATGAATAATTGAATACTAATCGAATGGGAATGCCTTTTTATTAGTTGAGGAAAAAAACTTTAAAAAATCGAGTACCATAAAAGCATGCAAGCTCTTTATCCGGAAATGACTCGGTAAAAGTCATCACAATTCAAACATGCAAGCCATTTAACCACAGATATGGCAAAAGATACAGAATTATAAGAACGTGAACTCCATCTTAGTTTGAATCATAATAAAGATAAAAAGTTTATACCACACAAACCGAAATGATACAACTCAACTAATAGTACAGTACCTGCAGGTACTACTCCTAAAGGCGTCTTTATTGCAACAACCCAATCACTTCTCCTTAGCAATCCGTTTACTACCTACTAAACAATGTGATGCTCATAAGAACGCGGGATTAGGAGGAAAATAAATACGGGGACACCTAAGCAAAAGAAAAAGAAAAGGAAAAACCGATATTATTATGGTAGGGCTAGAGCAACTATATGCTAATATCAAAAGCACCTGCTTCCCACCATTTGGAAATATTGACGGTGGCATACAGAAATAACATAAATTTATGAAGCAAGTAGGGGTAGAAAGCAAACCTCTACCAATATTCCATCCCCACTGACACAAATAATACCATCGTACTTGGTGAGATCTAATGAATAAGCAACCTCCTCAGCATGCCGCTGATATTCAGTTTCTAAAATTTAAAATTCAGGGGAAATGAAATTAATAAAAACCTATTAAATGCTCATAGTTAAACTCAAAAGTGAAAAGTTCCTACACGTACATCTCTAGAAAGTATCCCCACCTTGCAGTGTGATGTCTATTTCGGCATCCTCCAGAAGAGGCTTCACGTAATCGAGAAAAGTCTTGGAAGCAGCTCTTTTCCCGCCGAATGGGTTAACAAAAACAAACAGCCTCTTTGGGCGACCTGGGGAAGTAGAGATGCTATTATTCCAGAAGACAACGAAAAAAAAAACAATATTAAGCAGAACGAGCTTGAAGAACTATAAACACTGATGCCTTGCTGCTTCGCCCTTGAGAAATCAAAAACCAAAACATTTAATGCCATTAATGATTCCGGAATAAGTGACTACGGTAGGTTCTCGGCCTCTCAAACAGCCCAAAATCTAATGCACCTTACAGTATTCATCTATATTCATCTTTATCCCGAATCTAACTTGTGATGACGGGAATTCGTTAAGAGAAGAATCGCAGTAAAGTAACTTTTCTTTTTGAAATTAAGCCGAATGGATAGTACAAAGAGCGATCCGGAGTTTTCGTTGGCTCTTGGGAAACTGGAGTAGAGAATCCTAAACTTCAAAGCATCAATGCAACCAACAGGCAGCAACAAGTCAAAACTAAGCAAAATCATTTTTCTTCTATCCATGCAATTCCTAAATTACAAAGTCAATATTACAACCAAACAGAATTCCGGATGATCGTATTACCAAGCAAATCGATGAATTCACGGAGCTTCAAACACCAGAGCCTGTGGGAGTCCTCAGAGAGAGGCTGAAACACAAAAACCTTCCTCACCAAAGCTCCTCTGCTTCCAAAGCAGAACAATCCATCTCCGTCCTCCACAATTGCTTTGATCTTAATCTTCGGACCATCGGTGGAGAATCCAAGAACCTCCTTCTCGACGGACAAACATCGGTGACCTTTGTCGGACCACCGGAGCAAACCGTCGACTGTGAGGACCAACGGCGTGACGGTTCCGTCGAGGAGGAGAACACGGTGGTTGAGTATGGGCTCCGGTTCTCCGGATTGATCCATTTTTGAGTAATAGAATGAAAGAGAAAGAGGTGAGTCGTCTGGTTTCCGATCTCTTATCCTGATATAATATGTTTTGTTGCTGTTGCTGTTGCTGTAGGTGGTGGCCGGCAGAGAAAACCAAACCGAGCAAAACGTGCGCGTTTACACGCCGAAGCTGGGCTCTGGACTTGATTGACACCGGACCAGAGGTTGCTGGATTTTTTATTTTTCATTTTTATTTTTCCTCTATGTACGAGGAAAATAGGTTGGTGAGATTTATTTTTTTTTTATATAAATATTGACCTATAGTAATCTATTTTTATACCGAGCATTATTAAAAATTTGACCGTTTATTATCTTTTAAAATTATAGGTCTTTTATTTCTCTGATTTAGTTGTCAAATATTTAATGCTAATCAATAGAAGATAAGTCTCCACCCATCACCACTCAAAACTTTAAGTATTTTTTCGTTTCTAATTCCTTATTCTATTTTGTTTTTCATTTTTTCGATTATATGTTATCTATAATTTAAAATTAAAAAATATAGGTTTTGTATTAAAAAAATAAATTAAATATTCAAAATGTTTACATTTTATTTATTTTTAAATATTTATTATATATCTTTTATAGATCAAGAATAATAAAATAATATTTTTGTTTACGTTTTCAAAAAAATAAAAAAACAAATTAACATAAACAGTTATCAGATGCTTATAAAGAAATATACATAAAATGAAAATATAAAATAATCCTCAAATTTCGAACATTTTATCTCATGTTCCTTTCAATATTCTACATGATTTTTGCATCCGTGAAAGGAAAACATTTTTCTTGATAATATTAGATTAAGTAGATAAAAACGTGTTTTTGTTTTGCTTAAAAAAAAAAGAAAAAAAGTGTTTTTGAGGATTTTTTAGAACATTTAAAACTATTTTAAGGTGCTTCATGTTTGAGGAAGACTTTCATTTATGCCCATTAACTTTGGTGAATTAATTTTAATTTCGTCTCGTTGAAAAGTAACTTTTAAGTAATGATAAAATTAATTGCACTAGAAAAGGTAATGATAAAATTAATATATCATTAAAATTAAAATTAAAAATTGTCCACCACAACCAATAAACTACGTAAAAACTAACTCACAAACCACTCAAGTTTCATACATAAATTCGAGAGGAAGACAAAGAGATAAGGTTGCTCAAAGTAGTCTTCACTTCAAGTGTTAGCAATCAAGTTTTTAATCGACTTGAATTTCAATGTAACGAGTCAAAAATACTTTCATATCCTTTCCATTTGTTCAATACTTTTAATTTGAGCATCCCAATTCTATATGTTAATCAATTAGTTAAATAGATATTAGACCAATATCTATTTAGTAGTTATGATTTAAAATATTTAGCATCAATCTATGAATTTTCAAGATTTCATTTATCTTAGATATGTATTTTAAAATTCTCCAATATATTTTTAAACTTTAAATTTTAAATGTTTTTCTCATATTTTAATTAATTTAACACCTACATCACCTATTAACAATATAATTCAGTTAAATCATTTCTCAGTCAATACAAATCATTCCCCTCGAATCTATTGTAACAAAAAAATTATTATTTTAAAGAATATATGATAGATTGATCTTGGACAAGTTTAGACGAAACTAAAAATCTATTGGACACAAAATTAAAAGTTCGATGATGTTATTCAAATCGGTTTAAGCATAATGACTAGATGAATGCAAAAAAATATATTTCCCGCAATTTTTTTTAGTACAACGATTGGAGACGAGGAATCAAACTCATAACTTCTTAGTCCTGTCAAGAACACGTCACGTCTCATTCTTATGTTTTGGTGGTAACAATGTTCTTCAATACGTTTGCCATCGACCAAATTAGTTCTCAATTTAGATGATATTTGATAACTCCAGGCACACCTAATTTTGTGAAAGTAATAGTAATGTTCTACCTAATCCAAATTAAACTTATCCTTATTTCTAATCTAGTCTATAAATCAAGGCTCTACCATATTCTTGTGCCTTTATGGAGAAATTGGTGTTGGAAACCGAATCCAATAACTCTTCTCGTTCGAATCTATATTAACTACAAATTTAACACTCAATTCAATCAAATCCAATCCATCCAAATTGGAATGCACTAGAAGTATAAGATTACGAACCAAGTATAATTATTTGTATGGTTCTCCTTGTCTCTTTTGGCCTTTCTTCTCCCTTTCATTCACTGACGATATTCAACAAAGTCACAACACAACCTTCCATCATCAAGACGATATTCAACAAAGTCATCAAGAACCAAGAGTCCTCTCAACACTTGCCCTGTTAGGTCGACACGTTTCATCCAGAAGTTCAAACACTAAAAGTAGGGTTGAACATGGTTTGGGTTGGATTGCTCGGATTCTTTGGAATACCGGGTTACTTGTGTACAACCCTAACTAAAACGAGACTCTAGCAATGAGGATAAGTGTTGTGAGAAGAAAGTTGACAAAGAAATTGGTGATATAGAGTAGGTTTCTGGACAAAGAACCTTTGTAATGTAACCCATAAGTTCTGCAAGTGGGAACCCAAAAAATAACAAACCTATGCCCCTAAAAGCATAGCCTAACCCACCCAATATCCAACCCATCATAGCCCCAGAAAGTGCCCCAAAAAGATTTGAGCATCAGATACAGCTCTTGGTGCATTTCAAGTGCAGTTTTCACTCACCAGGTTCCAAAGCAAAAATTTTCTAGCGACAATCAGAATTACATACATAATTCAGTACTCAGTTTCCAAACAAATATTTTGGTCAAATGAGGTACATTTCTGAACAAAGAGAGAGCCTAAAATATAGCGAAACTAACCCCACAAATATGGGATGGGCCAGGCATTAAACCAAAGACTAAACCACCAAAATCCAGCCTCACATACCCCACCCACCACTAAAGTGGCCCCAAAAAGAAATGCAGCTCTTGGTCCATTGCAATGTATTTTTCACTTTCCTCTGGCTGCAAAGCAACAATTTTCTTACAACAATCAGAATAGCATACACAATTCAGTACCAGTTTCAAAGCAATCTAAAACCCTCAAACTGGTTTTGAGAATAAAAACAAGAAAAGAAGAGATCAAAGAGGCATCCATATATGAAAAAAGCACATCCATCCTGAACTTATGCAGTACCAGATTACAGAATTAATAAGCTCTTATATACAAGCTTACCATTTAACATTCAATTCAAGTACCAGCAGTCGGCAGAGCCGCCATAAACGAATTATAAGAAGATTCAAGATCAAAGTGAAGCTGCCGTGCCTGCTGCTCCGTCAACTCGTCCGCTGCACCCATCTTCGACAACCGTCCAAGCCACTCCCTCATCTTCGTCTTCCCTTCAAAATCCGCCGGCAGAATGGTCAATTTGTTCAACGAAGCAGAGAGGTCCGAGAGCAGAGGATGCACCTGATCCACTGCCACCATGTTCAGTTTCAAAGAATCCATGGCGGTAATAAAGTTTTGGACACACTCAGCCACAATGGCAGCGGATGTGGTGGCGGAGGCGGCGGCGGCTGCCCTGTGCTCCACCGTGGCAGGGACACCGGAGTTCACAAGACGGTTAATCGCAGCCGGACAGTCCATCTTGTAAGTGTCTGCGAAGCGTTCGATGCTGGGGACTGTGTCTTTGAGCGTCGAGGCCAAGGTTTTGAAATGAGCGATGAGTTTGAAGCACTCGGTTTCGTAGTCGGAGGAAGGGATTATGTCGCGGATGTATGCCTTTTCGAGCTTCTCGGTGGCCTTAATAATGGCGTAGAGTTCGGCAAAATTGTCGTACATCTCTCTCTCGCGCTTGTCGTTCCAAAGCTTGACCTCCATTGAAGCAATCTTCGGGTGCGAATATAAATGGACTGTGAAGAGAAATGGTGGTTTTTTGGTTTCGTGGAGGATTGGAGAAGAGAACGGGACACGCGCAAAGAGAAGGGCCTTCTTCACTGAATAAAACACAGAGATAAAGTAAACAAAACTTCACGAAGGTCCAATTTCACAAACCACCGCTCAAAAGCCACAAAATACATCCACAATCAATTCAGTCTACAGACGTCAAGAGAAAAACTTTGGTCGTTTCCAGAGAAATACAAAAGAAACTGGAGGAAAATCAATTTCCGAAACGATTTCAAAACCCTTTGAACAAAATACAGTATAATCGTCAACAGAATCTGGATCTAGCTCAATAATAGGAGAAGAGAAGACAAATATTTTCATAGAACAGAAGGCAAAAAACAATAACCAAAAATTTGGTTTTCATGATTCTCCTCCGCTTTCTCGGCAGCCAAACAGGATCATCGACAACAATAAAAGGGGAAAAAAAGGAAAAGAAAATAAAACAATCTACAAATCAAATGCAAATTATACAGATCAAAACGAAACAAATAATAATCTTAGTATCAGGGGAAGGGGAGGGAAGCGAAGATTTACCCTTAAAGCAGAGGTGGACGCGTTTTGTGAATCCTGTTTACAGTGGGCGTGTCGGAGGAGAGAAGAAGAAAAAACTCTGAAGAGAGAGAGAGGATTGCGATTGCGTGTGGGCTCGCACATATTATTATAGCTGCTTACGGCATCAGCGTGTGGCAGTTGGAAAACAAAACACCCAAAAAAAAGAAAATAAAAAAGGAAAATAAATTCAAATGTAAATCGCGATTCATCTTCTTTCTGTTACGGTCAGTGCAGTGAAGTTCATGCAGTGTTTGTCTCTCACCGGTTATAGTTGGGCTTTTTGCCCAAACAGGCCCAATCACAGGGTTCATAGCTTGGGCCCGAACCAATTGGGCTTCACTATTATCCACCTGGGCCCAAAATCAGGAAAATCAAGGAACCGGACCGAACTGACTTATACGGTCCGGTTTTTTAACTTAATTTCCCAGATTTAGGAATTTGGTTTGGAAAAACTCAGACCCCCTATAAATCGGGAAATTTGAAATTTTGACCCGCCAATAACTCACTTTGGATTCATAATCCCATTTTGAAAAAAACTAATCTATGACCCCACTCTTCCTTATTTATTAATAATTTCATAATTTTTAAATGTAAAATTATTACTGTAGTACCCTTTTAAAATCAACCGCTCCGCAAATCTCTTTACAAATCTTTATTCCCTCCACAAATTTCTCACAATAATTAATTCCAACCTTAAAAAATCAAACTTTTAAGAAAAATATCTAACTCAAATAGTAAATTAAAAGTTTAATATGGAAAAAATAAAAAAACGTACATAATTACATAATTTGTGCGAATTTAATTACAAAAAAGTCGGGACAATATTGCATTAAATGCTCAAGATTTAATTGATAACAATAGGCCCAGAGGGGAGAAAATGCAAAAAAAAAAATCTGAAATTTGGGATCCCGGTCCGAGTTAGAAGGATCCCGGTCCGGGATTGCAGAAACCCGGACTAGGTTACTATTCGGTCCGATATTCTGCAATCCCGGACCGGGATCCTTCTAACTCGGTTCGCGATCCCAAATTCCAGAATTTTTTTTTTTGCATTATCTCCTTATGAATTCCAGTTTCTTTTAGCCTTTATTGTCAAGTAAATCTCGAGCATTTAATGCAATTTTGACACGACATTTATGAAACCTTAATTTTTTTTGTAATTAATTCGAAACAAATCTTATGCATTTATTGTTAAGTAATAAATTAATCTATATTAGATTCAAAATTTAAAAAAAAAAATGCTGAGAAGAGATTGATGGATAATTTTACTTAGATATTTTGATAATTTTACAAACACAAGAAGTGGACACAAAAAAAAAAGAATAAAAAATTCAGAGGAGTTATACAATGGGGTTAAAAACCCCAATTTTCCTTCTAAATCCCAGTCTTCCCCAGCCCTCGATCTCTGTCACTCGCGTCTCCTCCATCTCTCATCTCTCTTATACCCTCCCGCCGGCTACCGCCCACCCCGCCGGCGGCCGCCCCGCTCTCCATTTACCTGTGGCCCCTCCTCGCTCTTCTAAAGGGTTTAGGGCTTCAGTTATTGAAGGTTCTTTTTGCTTCAAGAGGCCGCCATTAGAGCTAGTGCCCTCTGTTTTCGGTATCTCCTTTCCGAGTTCACTGTACACAATTGACCCTTGCTTTCTCTTTAACCTCACCCCTAAAACTTTCAGAAAATTAATTATCCTCTGAAACCCTTGTGCATTTTAAGTCGTGAAGTATTTCACTGATTTTTGTTCTGGGAGGATTGATAGAATTTGGATTCCTAGACTTCTTCCATGTCGATTTCTCAAGATTTATATCCATCGCAAGATGACCTCCTCTACGAAGAAGAGCTTCTTCGAAATCCTTTCAGTTTGAAGTTGTGGTGGCGCTACCTCATAGCACGAGCTGACGCACCATTCAAGAAGCGATTCATTATTTACGAGCGAGCTCTCAAGGCCCTGCCAGGTAGCTATAAGTTATGGTATGCATATCTGCGAGAACGACTCGATCTGGTACGAAATCTTCCCATTACTCATTCTCAGTATGAAACTCTCAACAACACGTTTGAACGAGCGCTGGTGACCATGCATAAAATGCCAAGAATATGGATAATGTACCTGCAGACGTTGACAAACCAGAAATCAGTGACCCGAACGCGTCGGACGTTCGACCGAGCCCTCTGTGCTCTTCCAGTGACACAACATGATCGAATTTGGGAGCCTTACCTCATTTTTGTAAGCCAAAAGGGGATTCCAATTGAGACGTCGCTTAGAGTTTATCGAAGGTATTTAAAATATGATCCAACTCATATTGAAGACTTGATTGAATTTTTGGTTAACTCAAATCTGTGGCAAGAAGCTGCAGAGAATTTGGCTTCCGTGTTGAATGACGAACAATTTTATTCTATTAAGGGGAAGACCAAGCACCGGCTGTGGCTAGAGTTGTGTGATTTGCTTACTAGGCATGCTACTGAGGTTTCAGGGTTGAATGTTGATGCCATAATAAGGGGCGGCATTAGGAAGTTCACAGATGAGGTAGGGCGCTTATGGACATCACTTGCAGAATATTACATCAGAAGGAATTTACACGAGAAGGCAAGAGACATATTTGAAGAAGGGATGACTACCGTTGTTACAGTAAGAGATTTTAGTGTGATTTTTGATTCATACTCTCAATTCGAGGAGAGTATGCTGGCTCATAAGATGGAAAATATGGATTTGAGTGACGAGGAAGATGAAGTGCAGGAAAATGGCCTTGAGGAGGAGGAGTTGGAGGAGGACATCCGGTTAGATGTTGATTTATCAGTTTCTAAGTTTGAGAAGAAGATACTTCAAGGGTTTTGGCTGTATGATGATAGTGACATAGATTTGAGGCTAGCTAGGTTAGACCATCTCATGGACAGAAGACCAGAATTAGCTAATAGTGTTCTCCTACGACAAAATCCTCATAATGTCGAACAATGGCATCGAAGGATTAAATTATTTGAGGGCAATCCCACAAGACAGATATTGACATATACTGAGGCTGTGAGAACAGTGGACCCCATGAAAGCTGTTGGTAAGCCTCATACCTTGTGGGTTGCTTTCGCTAAGCTATACGAGTCCCACAAAGATCTTCCAAATGCAAGAGTTATTTTTGATAAAGCTGTACAAGTTAACTACAAGACTGTGGATAACTTGGCTAGCATTTGGTGTGAATGGGCGGAAATGGAATTGAGGCATAAAAATTTTAAAGGAGCTCTAGAGCTCATGCGGCGAGCTACAGCAGAGCCATCTGTTGAAGTCAAACGAAAAGGTAACTTCAAAAAGATTTCTCATCAATAATTGTACTCATGTTTAATCACATTGTGCTGATTGCTCCTTTTTCAGTTAATAGTACTCTAGGTTTCTCTTTGTCTAAGCATCTTACATGGCTTTTGTTTGTTTAGACTAAGGGATTAAACTAGAGTTGATTTGGTAGTATATTTTGAACTTTTTTTTTTTGGATAAGAAACCTTTTATAGACAAAAGCATAGCACAAAAACAGCCTAAGGGCATTTTGAACATTAAAATATGTAGTTTGTTTCTCAATAAAATAATAATGCTTTCAGAAAACCTATGTTCTCATTGTGAATCTAAAAAGAGCTCAAAGTATATTGAGCAACAATAATATTAACGTTGGTATAATTTATGTGGAAGATGTGCGATGCAAGGTTGTTATCTCCTTGAATATGCAGCAATTGGCTTGGTTTGAAGAACATTTGGTCGACATGATGCAATATTAATGTTGGTATATGGATTATGATTGCAGTGGCTGCTGATGGGAACGAACCAGTCCAGATGAAGGTGCACAAGTCCCTAAGACTTTGGACCTTTTATGTGGATTTGGAGGAAAGTCTTGGAACCTTGGAGTCCACCCGTGCAGTTTATGAGCGAATATTGGACTTAAGAATTGCTACCCCGCAAATAATAATCAACTATGCTTTGCTTCTGGAGGTAATGTTAAATCTGGCTTATGTCACTTTATTATTATTATTTTTTTTATAAGAAATGGAAATTTTGTATACCAAAAAAAAAACATGTACAGCCTGAAGGCTGGGGAATGAGAAAGCCCCCACCTTACAAAACTAATGAAGAGCCGCTTTCCAATCACGGATAAGCATAGCAAGACTGTAGTTACAAGAAGAATTCTTATGTCACTTTATATTGCCTTTTTTGACTCTGTGGATGGATTTACTCATAAATTTTGACATGTGCAGGAACACAAGTACTTTGAAGATGCATTCAAAGTATATGAAAGGGGTGTCAAGATCTTTAAGTATCCTCATGTCAAAGATATATGGGTCACGTATCTATCCAAGTTTGTAAAAAGATATGGGAAGACAAAATTGGAGCGGGCAAGAGAACTCTTTGAGCATGCAGTTGAAACAGTATGTATAATTAATCTCTTAATCTCTTGCATCTCTTTGGATCAATGTAATTGGTTCTTATGAAAAAAATGTTCTTGAAATTATGCTGAAATCTAATTTACCTAAAATGATCTGATAGTAATAGAAAACAAAAATGAAACCTTTTGAGTATTCCATGACAGTTGGATATTTTTGGAATTATTTTACTTTGGCTTGAAGAAGTACAAGAGTTTCAAGATAAATATGAAGTTGTAGTAAAAGTTTTGGAAGGACTGATATCTGTAGTTCATTGTTGGAGCAAAAGTAATGAAAGAGACTTGTAAAATTACCTTAGTTGCTATCCTAGTTAATAGATCCACTTATTTCTTGTAATAGATGTATATTCTCTTTTTCATTCCACGTGACTCATATTCTTTAGTGCTTCTGCATATATTATAAGCTATGAAAGTTCTTTGTTTCTGTTTTGGGAAAAAAGTTCGAAAATTTGCGTTTGGGTAGTTCTTAAGGAGACCACTTAGAATCTAAAAATCCAGTGTTCCCCTTCTTTATTCCCTTCTGGAGTAAAGGGATGATATCTACTTTGAGTATTTCTTATGTCATTATTACATCCCTTTTCATTTAGTAGACACAAGGCCTTGCATTGTTCTTGAGTTGAATGATGCTAAAATGCATCCTTATCATGGAATATTATAGTATAGATATGATGATGCTAATGGTTCTATATTTTGATTATGCATTCAGGCACCCGCTGATTCAGTTAGGCCTTTGTATCTTCAATATGCGAAGCTTGAGGAAGACCATGGTTTGGCAAAACGAGCTATGAAGGTCTATGATCAAGCAACTAAAGCTGTTCCGAATAATGAGAAGTTGAGTATGTATGAAATATACATTGCTCGTGCAGCCGAGATATTTGGTGTTCCTAAAACTAGAGAAATCTATGAACAAGCAATAGAATCTGGTCTTCCCGATCAAGATGTGAAGACCATGTGCTTGAAGTATGCTGAGCTGGAGAAGAGTTTGGGAGAAATTGATCGTGCTCGCGGAATTTATGTATTTGCTTCACAGTTTGCAGACCCTCGATCAGATGTGAACTTCTGGAACAAATGGCACGAGTTTGAGGTGCAACATGGAAATGAAGATACCTTTAGAGAGATGCTTCGAATTAAAAGGAGTGTTTCTGCTAGCTATAGCCAGGTATTTTCTTACTCAATACTTCGAATGTCTCCCTCTTATCATTTGTTCGTTAATGGAACTTCTGTTAATGAACACAAGAAATCAGTCCTCTTGTGGAAACTTTGTTGTCTGACGTGGTTGGATTTCTCCAAGAGGATATAGGGTACATTATATTTGGAAATATTGTTTTAGGGACTGATAGTACCCCAACTTCATGGATTGCAATACTTTTTGTTTTTCTCTAAGCTATGAGTATAACGTTTATACTTTTTTCTTGCACGAGCACATGGTTAGTTATATTTAAATGATTGGAATATGTAAGTCTTACACAATCTTTACCTTTTTTATTTTTCCTGTTCTCCAGACACATTTTATTCTGCCCGAGTATCTAATGCAAAAGGATCAAACAATGAACCTTGACGAGGCAAAAGACAAATTGAAGCAGGCTGGGGTTACAGAAGATGAAATGGCTGCTCTGGAGAGGCAGTTGGCCCCTGCAATTGAAGATGCAGCCAAAGATAACAGTCGTAAAGTTGGCTTTGTGAGCGCTGGAGTCGAATCACAAGCCGAAGGAGGATTAAAGGGTGCTGCTAATCACGAAGACATCGAGTTGCCAGATGAGAGCGATTCGGATGAAGACGAGAATGTTGAAATTGCACAGAAAGAAATCCCATCTGCAATTTTTGGAGGCCTTGTTCGGAAAAGGGAAGAATCCGACGAGGCAGACGGTAATAAGGAAAATGGTGCTGCTGCAGTAGAAAAGGACGACGACAGCCACCTTGGTGCTCTTGAGAGGATTAAAAGGCAAAAGAGAGCCTGATACCGTTTTGTTGTAGAAGTCGAGATGATTGAATGTGTAATGTGAAGAAGAGTTTTTTTTTTCTCTCTTCAAAATCAATGAACTTTTTAGGAAAAGAATACACCCCTCCTGCATTCTTGGGGGTTTTTTCTTTGTAGAATACAAGTTTTTCTTTTCCTAATTTAGATTAATTGATTATTACTGTGGGTTGCAAAATAGGTATGAAAATTATAGCCCATATTAGAAACTTAGAAGTCATATATTTACGACAATACATTTCTAACGTCCTTCCAATTAAATCTGAACCAAATGCATGGAAACAAGAGGTGGTAAAATGAATCACCAAGTAACGGAAATCACAACTTCACGGTAATTCTTTAATTACTAATTGCCAAGTTCAAACTTCAACCACAGCTTAATCAGCAATCATTTTTCATCTGGATCTCTCGACAATCTCTTTAATCATGGAATCAGCAGTATCTTTCCAATATGCATGCTACTCTCCATTAGCTGGTGGGCTTCTTCTGCTCCTGACAATGGAAGATACTTGAAGATCACAGGCTTCACCTTCCCTGCTGCAATGGCTGGCCAAACCATCTTCTCAACTTCTCTAACAATAACTGCTTTGTTTTCAGGAGTACGGTTTCGCAAGCCAGCCGCTGCACACGATACATGATATATATTTCATCATAGGGAAAGATCGCAAATTTGACAAGCAATGAAATTCTTCCCATTGAATGACAACAGTGACACATTTTTCAATTTCACATAAATTTTCAGTACTACGACAAATAAGCATTCAGGACATGAGACCTTAAAACAATTAGGAGTTACAGGGATGCTAAAGAGCAACCTTTTCCATCTGTTTCTTCTTTCACTCGTGCGACAAAATCTTGCGTTTTGTAATTGATGCACACATCTGCTCCAAGGTCCTTGCAGACAGCTAATTTCTCCTCACTACCTGGCAATGGAGATCTAAAAACATGAGGAAAGATTCAGGAACATAAAAAGATCAAAGTGATTGCCCAACCTGCAGTAATAAACACTCTTTCTCCTTGGTATTTGGCTATCTGAATAGCAAAAGTACCAATTCCACTTGAGCCTCCATGAACCTGAAATTTCAACATCTTTCCATTCATGATGGCAATACATAAATGAATTCAATTGGGATTCTATATAACTCCAAGTTTATCAACATATCCCCTTCAGTAACTTTCTTCTCTCTCTCATCTCCCTTTCCAATCTTTTTTCTATCACACTCAAGTAAACTAAACCCCTATGAAGTTTCCATATGAAGTTTTCCAAATCATATTCATACCAACAATGTCTCTCCTCTCGCTAACCGACTTGTCATAAACACGGTCGACCAAACAGTTGACACCACCTCCGGAAGACTAGCGGCATCCTTCAAGGAAACACCAGGTGGAATGGGAAGCACTTGCCCAGCTGGGACAGCTACTTTCTCAGCATATCCGCCTCCAGCAAGAAGAGCACATACCTGTTCTGCAGCAGTATGTTAAATGATCAGATGCTAGAGAGCTATTTCAATTTTAAAATATATAGCATATGAGAAATTGTTCCCTACCAATAAAAGACCACTAAATAATGTTGTGAATCCTCAAACAAGAAGTGCAAAAGTGTCTCTGATGTTAAAACTTAAAAAGTGCTATGAACTCGCGAGTCTAGAACCAGTTTTAAGGCTGGAAAATTGGGACTACCACATTATTTTCTGAGAAGACTTGAAAAGGAAAAAAACAGGACCTCTGCAATAATTCGAGAACAAATGAATTTCAGTTTAATTTCATAAACGACCTGATCGCCGGTTTTCCAACGAGAGACGTTTTTCCCAACGGCTTCAATGATCCCAGAGCATTCGAGACCGAGGTAGGGACTGGCACCCTTGGGCGGGGGATGAAAGCCTTTCCTCTGTAACGTGTCGGCCTGGTTGGCCGCAGTGGCCTCGATCCTGATCAGAACCTCACCGTCTTTGATTACTGGGTCCTCAACCTCTTGCAATTGAAGAACTTCCAGGTCGCTCGGCTTGCTGATCACTATAGCTTTCATTGTCTGTCTGCTACTGGACTCTGCAAAGCACACAGCTGAACGAAGAGATCTCATTCCTCTACGCACGCTACAGGGAAACGAAAGAAATATATGTTCTTTTCCAAACCCAATCAAATGCTTCTTCAAAAACAAACAGTCAAATGCTTAATTCAGTTCTTTGCAATATGGGTTCTCAAACCTGGCCCAGTACAAGGAGTTTTGGGCCTCTCTCACAGAGCCTGAAAGAAACATTGTGCTTCATCCCCAACAGCCTATGTTCAGATTTTAACGTCCCTTACCTCTGAAGATTCGGAAAACGGTGAGCAAACCCTCTCGAGTTTTGGAATGACGGTTCAGAAATGAATAGTAGCCAATTTTTTAGCTGCCAGTAGCGATCAACGGGATGAAAAGAAAAAAACCAGAAGAGAAAATTGAATAAAACAGAGCCCTCATTAACTGAAGTGAAGAAGTCTCAGTTATAAATTTACACAGCACAGCAACAATCCTTTTCTACCTTCATTCCAATTAAAGCTGAACCAAATTCATGAAAACAAGAAATGGGTAAAACGATCACCAAGTATTGAAGACACGACTACACTGTAAGCCCATATTAGAACTTAGAAATTAGAAGTCATATTTTTACATGTACTTCAGAGTTACCTTTGATTCGAACACTTTCAATTTCGTTGTCTTATCCACTAATTTTCATGGATATTAAAGGATTGTTGGTGGAAAATTGAACCAAACAGAACCTCATTAACTGAACTGAAGAAATCTCAGTTATAAATTTAGACAGCCCGGCAACAATCCTTTTCTACTGTCATTCAAGTTAAATCCGAACCAAAACCATGGAAACACAACTACACGGTAATTATTTTATTACTAATTGCCAAGTTTGATGGTACCAAGATCAAACTAAACTTCAACCACAGCTTAATCAGCAATCATGTTTTCATATTGGTCTCTTGACAATCTATGTCATCATGGAACCAGCAGTATCTTCCCAATATGCTTGCTACTCTCCATTAGCTTGTGGGCTTCTGCTGCTCCTGACAATGGAAGATACTTGAAGATCACAGGTTTCACCTTGCCTGCTGCAATGGCTGGCCAAACTATCTCCTCAACTTCATTAACAATAACTGCTTTGTTTTCAGTAGTCCGGTTTCGCAAGCCAGCCGCTGCACACATGATACATGATACACGATAGATATTTCATCATAGGGAAAGATTGCAAATGTGGAAGGATCCATGTTTTTAAAATCAAAGAAATTCTTCCCATTCAAAGAAGAAATACAAGATTCATAACAGAGAAGATAACACGTGCACAAAAAGATTCGAGTCTTAAAAATGGAAAATCCAATTAGTTTAAATATGACACAAGCAAAACATTAAAAAAATATTATCAATGTGGTAACAAATAAGTAAATAGGAACCACTTCTTTGGACATGGATGCTAATTGCTAAGCTTTCTGGTGCAAATAAGTGTATCAACTTTAAGTAGTATTTTCATCATCTCAGAAGCACAAACATGGTACAACAAGGATATGTATTGACTGTCAGAACATTTTTCTAATATATATTTGATCAGTAGCATGAGTTTCTGATTATTGTCTTACCTTGCACAGTCAGGCGCTTTGCAAACAAACTGCGGAAGTCTAGCTGTGTTACTGCACCGCTCATGGTTCCGATAATAAAAAGTCTTCCATCTAAGTTTAAGCTTTCGAGATTCCGCTGGAAGTAACTAGCTCCAATACTGTCAAGAATAACATCCACACCTGTCATGGTACAAAATTTCACATAATTTTTCAGTACTAACACGAAGAAGCATTCAGGACGTGGGACCTTAAAACAGTGAGGAGTTATAGGGATGTTAAAGACCAACCTTTTCCATCAGTTTCTTCTTTCACTCGCGCGACAAAATCTTCCGTTTTGTAATTGATGCACACATCTGCTCCAAGGTCCTTGCAGACAGCTAATTTCTCCTCACTACCTGGCGATGAAGATTTAAAAACATGAGGAGAGATTAAGGAACATAAAAAGATCAAAGTGATTGCCCTACCTGCAGTAACAAACACTCTTGCTCCTTGGTATTTGGCTATCTGAATAGCAAAAGTACCAATTCCACTTGAGCCTCCATGAACCTGAAATTTCAATATCCTTCCATTCATAACGGCAAATGAATTCAATATCCTTCCAATCTTTTTTCTATCACACTCAAGAAAACTAAACCCCCATGAAGTTTTCCAAATCATATTCATACCAACAATGTCTCTCCTCTCGCTAACCGGCTTGTCATAAACACGGTTGACCAAACGGTGCAGGCCACCTCTGGAAGACTAGCAGCATCCTTCAAGGAAACACCAGGTGGAATGGGAAGCACTTGCCCAGCTGGGACAGCTACTTTCTCAGCATATCCGCCACCAGCAAGAAGAGCACATACCTGTTCTGCAGCAGTATGTTAAATGATCAGATGATAGATAACTATTTCAATTCTTTAAATCATGTAGCATATGGGAAATTGTCCCCTACCAGTAAAAAACCACTAAAGAATGTTATGAATCCTCAAACAAGAAATGAAAATTTGTCACTGATGTTAAAACATAAAAAGTGCTGGGAACTAGCGAGTCTAGACCCAGTTTTAAGGTTGGAAAATTGGGATTGCCACATTATTTTTTTAGAGACTTTAAAAGGAAAAAAAAACAGGACCTCTACAATAATTCAAGAACAAATGAATTTCAGTTAATTTCATAAACGACCTGATCGCCGGTTTTCCAGCGGGAGACATTTTTTCCAACGGCTTCAACGATCCCAGAGCATTCGAGACCCAGGTAGGGACTGGCACCCTTGGGCGGGGGATAGAAGCCTTGCCTCTGCAACGTGTCGGCCCGGTTGAGCGCAGTGGCCTCGACCCTGATCAGAACCTCATCGTCTTTGATTACTGGGTCCTCAACCTCTTGCAGTTGAAGAACTTCTGCGTCGCCCGGTTGGCTGATCACTATTGCTTTCATTGTTTATCTGCTACTGGAATTTGGACTCTCCAAAGCACACACGACACAGCTGATCGAAGATATCTTATTCCTCTACAAGGGAAGGAATGGAAGATCGTTTCTTTTCCAAACCCAATCAAATGCTTCTTCAAAAACAAACAGACAAATGCCCAGTTCAGTTCTTTGCAACATGGGTTCTAAAACCCCGCCCACAACGAGAAGTTTTGGGCCTCTCTCACAGAGCCCAGACAGAAAAACAGGAGCATAAATAGCATTGAATCTTCTACAAATATTCAGGTGGCCATATTTTTTGGCCATTTTTCTGTAAGCAGGGACACCCACTTTAATTTACCAAGAGAACATTGTGTTTCATTACCAACCACCTATGTTTGAATTTTTAATGTATCTTACGTCTGAAGATAAGATTTATAAAACCGATAGCAAATTTAGTGTAGTTTTGGAAGAGATGGGTCAAGGTTAATCTTTTACTGATACCATTAAATTTTTTATAAATAAGAGAATAATCATGTAAAAAAATGATGGGTAGATTATATATTTACAACTATCACATTTAGTTGACAATAAAACGATATTAAATCTTAGGTATATTTTGCCATAAGCATTCTCCACAAGCGAGCAAAAAAGGGGGAAAAAAGAAGATTCAAAACAAGAAGAATGGCAGTGACCGTGTATACGTGTGAGGAGGAAGAAGGTGAGAAAGGGAAAAGAAAGTGGAAAGATGGTTCTGCAAGATAGAATTAAAAAAACCCAGAAGAGAAATCGACGGATGGAAAAAATCACGCGAGAACGTTCAAGTTAGCATTACAAACTAGCATCGAACTTGATTAAATTTCAAATTTTAAACCTAAGTTTTTAGGGCACCCACATGTGGCATATGGCAGAGTAGGAACTAGGATTGAGTTTTCATATAAGAAATTATATAGAATATTCGAAAATTATTGTTAATTGACTGTTCATTTTTCAGATTTTAATTTGCGTTACCTTTGATTGGCCGGGAGGAAAGCGTCGAAAAAAGCCGGTGTAGTTTTGCAGACGATCGAGCTTCAGCAACAGATCCAACAGGTAAAGTCTTCCATCACTGCTAAGCTTCAGCCGATTTGATTGTGTTGACAGCGTATTTTGGGGCTAAGAGCAGTCATGGGCCGGTTTGAGCTCTTCTGGAGAGCTTCCGTTTTTCTGCTACTTGTACCTGGAATCCTCGGCTGGGGAAAGGAAGGTCACTATGCAATCTGCAAGATAGCCGAGGTAAGAATATTCAGTTCATTTTTAAGCATCAGTCATCATTTATTTTGTCAAGCTTTCGGTGTTACAGAAGGGTAATAGGGAATATGGTGCAGTCCAGTTCAGAAAATAAGGATAATAACTGGGGTTGTTGATTGAAAGTCCTCGAAAGTGTAGCTTTAATAGTGTAGGTCAGGATTTAAGGTAAAGCAAACGTGGCAAAGGAGAGAGGACCTTGTGAAATTTGGTCCGCTATTAGAAAACTTTGGACCCATTTGGATATTTGACATATAGAACTGAAATAAACACTTGTATCCACTATTTTAGCTTCTTAGTAAGCTAGAAATCTGTTTGGTGAGACGACTTGGAGCTGGTTGTATCTGATATCATCCTATGATAGGGAGTGCAATCATTAGATCCTGCAGTGTTCAAGACAAGACTGATATCACTTTTCTGGTTTAGGGATATTTCACTGAAGATGCTCTATCCATGGTCAAAGAATTGCTTCCAGCTTCTGCTGAGGGTGATCTCGCCGCTGTATGCTCCTGGCCTGATGAGATTCGACGAAAGGCTCATTATCACTGGAGTAGCGTTTTACACTATGTTGACACTCCTGATTTCTTTTGTAATTATAATTACTCGAGTAAGTTTGAGCTTAAGGTATTTTCAGTTCCTTTTGTGAACTATCATGCCGTTTTACTGTTTTATATAATGGTTGCTATTGTAGTGTTTATGAGCTTTAAAATTCAAAAGCATTGTTGAACCACAGGAATACTGAGGCTGAGAAATTTGATAGTTCATGATAACATAACCAATGTATCCTCTGAAGTTAACTTATATGGCCAATGGCGTAATTATTATAGCACTAGCGCCAATATCTTCCTAAATTAAAAATTTCATATTCATAAGAACATAAGATTTTGACACAGAATTTCAATGTCTCGTTGCTTCAAGATGATAAAGTGTTCACATGAAATGAACTAACTTGTTCTGCAATTCTTGTGCCAGTTGCCTGTTGCCTTTTGTTCCCCTTCTAGCTTTGAAACATCTTATGTTGCCAACTACGAAGTTAATGAAAATATGTCATTCTGAACATGTCATATATGATGGTTATTAAATTCAATTTGATTTTTGATTCCTTTCATTCAACAAGGTATTTTTAGTTGCAAGATTTAACGCTAATGATTGATTTTCTCTTCATGACAATGTTTACGAGTGTAACAGTTTCCTCTGCTTCATTATAGGAGACTGTCATGACACTCATGGACATAACGGTAGGTGTGTGATTGCGGCAATTTACAACTATACCATGCAACTTGAATCAACTTACAAAGAGATGACTTCAGATGTTAGATGTAAGCACCGTAAATAACTACCCATCCTGTCCATACATTTTTCGAACAAACGTCATTTTTATTCACGTGGTATTTTCAGATAACTTAACAGAGGCTCTCATGTTCTTGTCCCATTTTATTGGAGATGTCCACCAGGTTTGCCCTTTCTACAGATCTGAACTTTTAGGCACTCAGAGAAACTGAAAATATGAAGTGCTAGGTTCATGAAACTTATATTATGTAACTACAAACTTTAGTCCTTGGAATATTGTTGAAAGTGTATTTTCATCCGATGGTAAAATCACTCTTTCTTTTCAAATAGGAATCTTTATAGTTTGATTAGCAAGTTTGTGCATTAACTACATAATAATACTAATAGTGTCAACTGTATTTCATTTTTTCCCTAAAGAATCGAATAATTTATGATTTTATTCCTTTGTATCTGAATTTTCCGTTATTTGGTGGCAGCCCCTGCATGTTGGTTTCATTGGAGATCTTGGTGGTAATTCAATAACAGTCCGTTGGTACCGTAGAAAGACTAATCTTCATCATGTAAGTGCACCTAGAGATTTGAATTCCCTCCTCACAAGTACCCTCCTTATTTCATCACTATTCTTCATACACCTTTAACCATTTGACAGTAAACACACGAAACATCTCGTAAAACTTCACCATGATGGTTAAAACTACAAGCTCGGAAATCCCATTACATACTGCAGAATGTTTTGGTTTTTATCCATCTGGTATTGGAATAGTTTTGTCCATAAAAATGAAATGGTCTTTCTACAGGTATGGGATAACATGATCATTGAGTCTGCCTTGAAGACGTTCTACAATTCAAGCCTTGCACTAATGATTCAAGCTATTCAAAATAGCATTGTGGTGTGCCTCCTTTCTCTGATTTTATGTTCTGACTTGCCTTTTTTGATAGAACAATTTACTTTTCTTATTTTTTACTCATAGTTCTTTTTCCTTATGCCATCTTCGTTTTAAATTTCTGAAGGATGAATGGTATAATGATGTATCAAGTTGGAGAAATTGCACAGAGAACCACACAGTTTGTCCTAACCCGTGAGTATTTTATCATTCTTATCCCTTATCCATGTTCGGCAACCTGTTTATGTTCAAATCATGTAATCAAATGATTCCTCTGCTGTCATATGAGCATCCCTGATTAGTATACGAAGATGGACTTGCCACTATTATACGTTGCTGAAACTTAAGATAACGTCTTTTTTAGCTCGAAAGAGGAGAAAAATATTCATCGGGTGAAAAATAACCTTCATTTTCCCACCATAAAGTTCTAGGAAATGGTAAGACTTGATTGGATGCCTCTTATTTTTCAGGTATGCTTCTGAAAGTATTAGCTTGGCGTGTAAATATGCGTACAAGAATGCCACTCCCGGAAGCACACTAGATGGTATACTCTTTTTTCTAGACAACCTCTCCTACACTCACATGTATGGTTTCTTTTCCACATTAACTTATCTGTTTCCAGTGCTGTGGTTAAAAATAGGTTGTAGGTGAAACCTAAACTTCTTAATGGGGATTTTGGTGGAGGTGGGTATGAGCGTAATGAAAGGAGCGAGACCTCTAGATATCCAGTGATAAGAATGCGAAAGGGTGTAAACTGCATGGGATTTGATTCTATATGTCAAAACCAGATAGATGCCACTTAGTTTATTGTTGCAACTTGCAATCCTTACCGTTAAAAAGAGAGACATTTTCCAGTCATCAAGATCAGACGAATTTCTTGTGTTAAATCTTCTGTTTCTACATTATACTCGAGAGGTTTTAACCCATCCTGTTACCCATAGGAACGTTTCGAATACAAGTTCATCCCTGATTCCTTTCTGTTCTGCCAATATGATAAAAAAATCTGAATCATTAATCTGTTAAAGAAGGCTCCTGTTCAAAAAACTTTCGAGAAACTCTACCAGTTTGCTTGTTGAGGCATACAAAGATGCCAGAATAACTCAACTCTGCACTAGTTCTTTCTCTATGCTCCCAGCTTCCTGAATCTATAGAATTAAGAGTGGTTGGCTGACCAAATGAGCCAAAATTTCTCCTGTTTCACTGCAGACAGTTATTTTCTTAGCCGGTTGCCAGTCGTAGAGAAGAGGTTAGCACAAAGTGGCATCAGATTGGCTGCTACCCTCAACCGAATCGCGGCTTCTGAAGTGAAAGTGGCTGAAGCTTGAAGACAATGAATGGGAGAGATCAGATCCATTTCATACAATAGTAAAATGGTTGAGGACATGAATTGATTCATTCTCCATTCCTCTGTCCTGTACTATATTTATGATTGTTCATAAAGAACCCAATATGAGGAGAATCATCTGTTAATTGAACAGTCACTGGATAATATGATTCAGTTGATTCACTGCCTTTAGTCTGCATCTTAAAGATTAAATCCCAGATTGTAGTTCAGGAAAATTTTCACTAACATTTACAAGAATTGAGCTTAAATATCCCACAACTCCACAGAACAGACAAACCCCATCTCATATTCAATCTACACGCCCAGTTTTATGACAGATTAATAGGAGATATCAAACTCAAACACCTCATCTGACATCCTCAACACCTGCTTTGTAAATTTTAGATCACTGTATCCGATTTTGAATTTTTAGCAGACTTAATGGAATTTGCTTATGTCAAAAGACCACTCGAATTTTAGCCAATCTCATGTTACAGTTAAAACAGAAGCTGACTGCTGACATATGCAACATTCTGGAAGTTCTTACATCATCAAACGTGGAAAATAAGGAACCCGTTTGATTCAATGGACATGAATTCTTTGAGAATAAGTATTTGAAACTTTCTTTTTACTTGGTCTTTGGTCTACATTCATAACATTTTTATTAGATTATGAATTTTTTTCGTATTAAAGTTCATATGCAAAGGAAAAGATGACAAAGATTTGATTTTTTTAAAATAATGAATGCTCAATTTTTCAATGGTGGTGATAAAGAGCCAAGTATGATCCAACTATTTCTCGTGGGTGTGATAAAACAGAACAGAGGTGACTGAGAGCTTAAATAGTAATCATGGTCGAGAACCACGACAGGCAGTAAAACTACCCCTTGTGGGGAACGTGTGTTACCAATGGGGACATAATTGATGAAGGAGACAAAAGTACATCCTTTACAAAACATGACACAAGTGCTAAAGAAGCAGCCACAGGTGGCGGCCATTTTTCTAGTCTACTTTCCCAGAAAGTCGTTCAACTTCTCTTCCCATTGGCCGTTGGAAAATGCCACCTAATATGGAAAGTCTATTCCACCCTTTCTTTTGACCGAGTTAAATTATAAGTTGGGCTAAAAGATACTTTTTCTCCCCTGCATTTACTCGTAGTTTAAATTTTGTAATAATTTAGTCCTTATCATAAAAAAAATAAAGTTTCTTATACATGTAGATCGATAAACTGACGAATGACTAAATGTGTATATAAATTACAAAGACAGAATCGTTATATAATAAAAATCAACCTTTAATTTTGATGAGGATTTTAAATTATTACTAATTTGAAATTACATGGACTAAATCGTCTTAAATAAAATACAGAACCGAACATATTTTTTAATCTCATAGATTTGATTTTTTTAGATCAAGTTATCAAAAGATTCAAACTTTCAATTCTTGGTATGACAAATATTAACATGATTAAGCTTCGAACCTTTGAGTTGTCTCCTTCATTTTAGTATTAAAAAAATTGCCCATGTTTTAATTTGACGTCAAATACCTTTAAGACACAAAAGTTCAGAAATTTATTTAAGAAAATTAAAATATAGGACCAAATAAATACAACTTAAAAAATTTAAAGAGCCATAGTAATTTCCTCTTAAAAGAATATGGCATAAACCGATCAATAAGGAAAAAATCTAAAATTTAACATTTTGTCCTTCACTTTATGAAACGAGGTCGCCAGATGACTTACTTGCGCCTCAAGTCGTTGCAATTCTGGCCTCGGGTTGCTGTCCCTGCTTGTCTTTTTCACCGTATAACAAATATTTAACATATGGGTATTGATATTTTTCCTTGCATCAAAAAACCCCCAAAAGCGGCTTCTTCTTAAAAGGCCTCTCCACGGTCCTGGGATTTGCTCGCCTCTTGCTCCAGATCCCATTACGAGTTTACAACTACATCATCTGAAAAGGGTAACGCTCCTTTAACCCTTTACCACAAATCTTGTGCTCTTACTGCATTTGCTTCATGTTTCCTGTTTATTTTCTTTGTTGCATTTAACTGAGTAACCCTTTTTCTGTATCATTTTCTGTGGGTTGGTTGTATTTTTTCCTCTTCTTTTCTGTAGAATAAAAGAAATGATCTCGTCATGAAAGTGTTCATAGGAAAGCTCCAGTCCTTTTGTAGATCTTTTGTCCAAAATCCCATGGGAGCGGTTCCACGTTCTTCTCTTTGTCTTCAGCCCTTCAATATGTTAAAACAGTTGTTATGCTGCATGCCCATAATTTTTTTTCGCAGATAACTTGGCCCCGCTTTTATTCTTTTTATAATGTGCTTTAGATGGCATTGTTTTTTAAGGAAAGGCTGTAATGATTTTGAAGTTTCTTCCATTGCATATGCTGATCTCATTTGATGCCTATATGTTTCATTAATGTTGGGGGAACAGCGAATGCTATTATTGAATTATGCCATGTTCTTTAGTTGGTTGCGGTCTATTACTATGCAGCTAGAGATTTGATTGCGCTTGCTGAATTAAATAGTTTGATTCCTCAAATATATATCATTATTGTAATCCTAAGGTGTAAGGTCAAAGATTTCTAAATCATCCATAAGATGTTTAAATGTTGTACTCTAATATGGAATTAGTAACACTAAGGATCAGACATTTTTTGATGTAGTGAATGGAAGTAATTGTACAACTTTTGGTCAGAGAGAGAGCAATAGTTCAATTGGTTAGTGTTAATGCTCTAATATGCTTGTCTTTTCTCCCTTGGTTTTGTATCTGCCACCATGTGATGGGCAGGGCAAAGTTGTCTTTTGCTTGCTTGTCATGTAATGGTGAAGTCTACTTCCTATAAATTAGTCTAAGGTCATTTTATCATATTAGCTATTATAAAAGCTCATTCTCATTCTCTTTCATATTCTCAATTGCAGCAAATTAGGAGTACGGAATTTGGGTTCCATTCCAATAGAACAGGAAGGAATTACCAAATCTTGTTGTGAAGATGGTTTTTGCAAGGATTGCCAGTAAAGGACTGAGAATGTCCGGAACCACGTTCGGTATGCAATCGTGTCTCAAGGATACGTATTGCCCCGGAGCATCAACGTATAAATGTTTCATCCAACCATTAAATAATGTCACTAGAAATGGCAATATGTTGAACCTTCCTCACATGGCAAGGGTGAATCACATGGAATTTTGGAACAGGGGAATAAGAACAACGCCGCAGCACCAGTTTCCTTCAGCCGAAAGGGTTGTAGAGGAGTCTGATTTGGAGTGTGATGAGCCAACTTTTTGGCCTGGACTGGAAGCAACCAAGCCAGGGGAAAAGCCGAGGGTGGTCGTCCTCGGTACTGGCTGGGCTGCGTGTCGATTCCTCAAGGGGCTCGACACCAAGGTCTATGATGTTGTTTGCATATCACCTAGGAATCATATGGTGTTTACTCCTCTTCTTGCTTCAACTTGTGTTGGAACCTTGGAATTTCGGTCGGTAGCCGAGCCTGTCAGCATGATGCAAACGGCTTTAGCAAGGGATCCCAATTCTTACTTTTATCTGGCTTCTTGCAGGGGCATTGATACAAACAAGCACGAGGTTAGTTCTTTTTCCAATTTCTGCTTTACTGAGCTGCGAGTTATCAACTCTTTTTGAGTAATAAAATGGGTTTCTTACAAGAAAGAGTTGCTTCTGGGAAGGGTCCATAACTTCTAATCTAGCTTATCAGCCTCGTGACAATTTGACCGATCTTCTCTTGCTATGGGAACCAAATAAGAGGCTCGCAATGAAATGTAGTTGCCTTATAATTTTTCAATTCATCTTCATTTGATTGAAAATGATCGCCAGCTGATATAAATATTCATGTTCAAAACTGAAACAGAAGTAGAAAGCACTTCTTCACTTTATGCTGAATTATATAGCAGGCAAAAGAATGCGTCCTCATTGTTAGCTTCCCTATCGAAAAGATATAATCAGTTCTTTCATTCATTGATCAGGTGTTCTGTGAGACTGTTAGTAAGGGTGGACTACCTCAGGAGCCTTACCAATTTAGAGTTGCTTATGATAAGCTTGTGATTGCTGCTGGAGCTGAGCCCTTGACTTTTGGTATCAAGGGAGTGAAGGAACACGCCTTTTTCCTCCGCGAAGTAAATCATGCTCAAGAAATAAGGAAAAAGCTTCTTTTGAATCTAATGCTCTCTGAAAATCCAGGTTAACTGCGTCTTCAAATCATCACAGGTCCCAAACTGACACTAAAATAACCGGCTATGTTTTCTAACATTAGAGACTACTGTATCCTACAGGTATATCAGAGGAAGAGAAGAAGCGTCTTCTTCACTGTGTCGTTATCGGGGGTGGTCCAACAGGTGTCGAGTTTAGTGGTGAATTGAGCGACTTCATCATGAGGGACGTTCGAGATCGCCATACTCATGTCAAAGACGACATTAAAGTTACACTAATTGAGGTACCATACGTTTCCAACTCCGGACCACAACATTGCAAAGAAAATAGATACAATGTTTCAGCAATATTTGTTGGTTTTGACACTCTCCTCCAAACAGGCAAATGAGATTCTATCGTCTTTCGATGTCGGGCTACGGGAATATGCAACAAAGCACCTGACCAAGGTAGAATAGTATGCTTCAACTCCGACAAGTTACATGTTTTCTGCTTTGAATCTGTCTGTAATCTCCTAAAAGAAATTTCGTTTTGCTCATCAGTGTGGTGTTCGCTTAATGCGGGGTGTCGTAAAGGAAGTACATTCCAAGAAGATAGTTCTCAGTGATGGGACTGATGTTCCATATGGCCTCTTGGTCTGGTCTACGGGCGTCGGTCCCTCTGAATTCGTGAAATCACTTCATCTTCCAAAGGCCCCTGGTGGAAGGTATATATATATAAATAAGCTAACAAATCCCACAAATCACCATTCTCTTCAAGAAGATCCTCTTCTGGTTTCTTATATTACTGTCTACAATGTTTTTCAGCCAGTTAACAGTATTGAGTGGAACAGGATTGGCGTGGATGGATGGCTGCGAGTTCCTTCCGTGGAAGATGTTTTTGCACTTGGGGATTGCGCTGGCTTTCTTGAACAAACAGGAAGACCAGTTCTTCCTGCTCTAGCCCAGGTATGCAAAGATGAGAACTTTATATGGATGATGAAGCATAAATCGATAAACTAATTCCTCTAGTTAATGGCATTTCTGGGTTAAACTTAAAACCACCATTACCAATTTCTTCAATACTGTTCAAACAGGTTGCAGAAAGGGAAGGGAAGTATCTAGTAGAGCTGTTCAACAGAATTGGAAAACAGAATGGAGGCAAGGCCTCGAGTGCAAAGGACATTCCTTTGGGCAACCCTTTTGAATATAAACATCTGGGAAGCATGGCATCTGTCGGCCGTTACAAAGCTCTCGTCGATCTACGCCAGTCAAAGGTAAACGAACCAAAATTGCTTGGAATCAAACATCATTCTTGTTTTCTTCGAAGTTTACATGTCCTGATTTGTATAATTTGGGGGGAATTGGATATAGGATGCGAAAGGCATATCAATGGCAGGGTTCGTCAGCTGGTTCATATGGCGATCTGCTTATCTCACTCGTGTAATCAGCTGGAGAAACAGGTTCTATGTGGCTGTGAACTGGGCTACCACTCTTGTCTTTGGCAGAGACAACTCTCGGATTGGTTAAGGTTGAAGCCAACACAAACAAATCAAATCACCAACACGAACACGAACACGGAGTTTTCCCCATACCCATTTTTCGAGTATTCACAAAAGTTTTGATTCTTTCATTGTTTGATCTTTTCTCCCAATTCATACAGAGAGAGAATTTTGAAAGGCTATGTAAGAATTGCAATAAATAGTTGAAAAAAGCAAATATAATAGTATTTATATTGGTGGCGAATTTACAACCTCAATCTCTTCGACCTCAAAACTAACAGAAGAAAATAAATTGGCTAACGATTGTTTTCGAAGATATCTATGTTTCTCTATTTACAGTGCTTCCGCCATTAGCTGAGTTATGAAGAAAAGTGTTTGTGGCTGCTGTGGGAGAAGATGGAGGTGACAGTATGGGCCAGGCCCACCATGATTCCCATCTTCACCTGCCCTCTCTTCGGGATCAGACGACCGGAAAATCTCCTGCCCAATCTCTGACCGTTGATTTCGTTCATCCTCCTTGCTCCTTCACCACCACCCATCACTGCAAATTTCTTCTAGAGAGAGAAAATGAGAGAAAGTTGAAGTTTTTTTGGATGCTCTCAAAAGCCCACCTGAGCTGGATTTATATAGAGGCAGAGCCAATTCAAAGTATGTAGTTTAACTTTAGTTTAATAATTTTTTGCAGATAAGCCCTTGGTTTCTTGATTAATTTGCTATTCACTGGTTATGGTGTAGCTTTTTAAATGTTAGTTGGTGGTGGTCTTTGCTTTGGGCAACAGCTGTCTTGTTGGTTTTTTCATTTTGTGAAATTACCACTTTCTCCTCACACGTGGATCATAATGTTTAGAATTTTTCTGCACCCTAAGGGCGTTTCTGGTATTTCAGAAAAAAATGGGATTCGACCGAGGGAACAAGATAAAGGGTGAGGCAATCGTGTAATAAAATAATCAGAGTGGAGTTTTATTGTAATCAAGTTTTCTTGGTTTCTGCTTTTGAATCCAATTTTGACAAAAATAAATAAATAAAACGAGTCAATTTGCTTCCACTACCAGGAAAAAAAAGAAAAAAGAATCTCGGCGGTTGTAGCTGCCCCAGGCCCACACCCATGGGGCCACGGTGGCATTTTGTACACTTCACCTGGACCAGATGGCACCTCTTTCGGAGATATTAGCCGCTGGATTTTCTTGGGGCACCGCCGCCGCCGGAGGTTTTGTGGTGGTGGAAGGAAGGAAGTGGGACTTCACTTATTTTAATTCAATTATTGAATCGTTTCTTACTATATAAAAATATGTGGATCATACTTCTAGAAGTTCTTTTATTGATGTCATATTTTAAGATTAGTTTATGTTGGATAATTATTATTTTTAATAGGCTTTCTCAAAATTGTAAAATAATTTAGGTGGGTTTGATTCATGTTTCAGAAAGTGATATTTTGTCATGAAATTTCAGAAATTGGTTCAAATTTATTTATTAAACTTTTTTTTCTAGCTGAGATTCGAACTCACGATTTTTTCGTTTTTTCTAGCTAAGATTCGAACTCACAGTCTTTTATCGAAAATAGGTGCTTGAGCTATTCAGTACATGGATTTTCAAAAATACATAGTATGCTTCTATCTTTTTGATGTTGTATCTAATAAATTTCTAATTTATTAGACAAAAATTTATCCTAATTTTATTTTACTTTTTAAAAAATATCTAATTAGTTAGAAATCTATCAAACACAAAAATAAAACTTAAGAAATCAACTGGACACTTAAGCTTTAGAATACACACAAAATAAGAAAAGACCCGACAGTTTTTAAACTTTGTGAATCTATTAAATACAAAATTGAAAATTTAGAGACATTTTTTAGAATTCGAAATCTATCTGCACAAAACTAAAAGTTCATATACTAATACACTTTTGAAATTTAAATTTCAAAAACCAATTTTGAAAACATGTCAAATATCTTCAAAGTTCAAGAAAATATTAGGCATAATCATAGAAATTTAGAGATTAAACTTCAAATTTAACTTAAATGTTATTATATTTTTAAAATATTTACAAGCCACCTTATTATTATTGCAGGATAATATTATTGGTCAGAGGAGAGAGGTGAGACATAGAATTTTGAAAAATAAGTTGGATTCAGTCCAATGCACTTACTCAACAAAACTATTATTTTATTTAATTTTTTAAAATTTCTTTGACAGAGTGTTGGATTATGTTTAAGATTCGCATCCGTCTCATCAGATTTTGTCACTTCAAACTTCAAATGGCCATTCTGTCCTCTCAATCTCATCAATTTTTTATATTATATGGTTTCATGTATGGACTTTACATTATCGTTTAATCACACATTTAACATTTTTACCCTTTTAATTTTACTTTTGGGTATCAATACTTCTAATTTAAATTAAATATCTACTTTTATTACTTCACCTGCCATTTATTCATATAAAGAAACCTATTTAAACAATCCTAAAAATGGAATCAAATAAGTTGCAAATTTATCCGATGAGTTGCAAATGTTTGGATGGAACATTACACACAAAGATTATTTCATAATTCAATTTCTGCAATGTTATTTAATGTAAATTCAGATTAAAATAATTTCATGAGCATCCTACCCTACGATAATAATTCTTTACAATTTATTCGCAAAACATTAATACTCATGAACCCCTCTTCGATTATTTTTTTTCCCCTTCTGATTTTCGAGTAAATAATTCAACCGACACAAATGAGGAGTGGAAAATGAATCTAGAACAAGAATATTATTATTATTATTATTATTATTATTTAACAGTAAATTAAGCAATTAGGCTAATTTACAGACACCATCAGTCCTCTTACTAAACAAAAGTTATTAAAAAAAACCCATAAAAAATAATTAAAAAAATTTCACAAATACACAATTGAATGACGCCATGGAAAGGTCAGCTCAGTTTCTTCCTCATCTTTCAATTAACGAATCGGAAGATCTTAGCGTCTAATCGGTGACGTTCGATAATATTTGAACCGCTCACACTGGGAAAATCAGAACCGTCGATTTTAGGGGAAAAAAATCAACGCCTCCGATTAACTTGTTCGCTTCGCCGGCCACCGGAGTTATTTCCGGCCGCCGTTAGAGAACATAGAAGTGACAGAGTGGGCAATTCCCGCCATGATCGCCATTTTCACCTGGCCCCTCTTCGGGATCAGACGGTCGGAATATTTGCTCGACAAACGTCCACCGTTGATTGCGTCGCTCCTGGCACCGGCCATCTCAGATTTAGAGTGAGAAAGAAAGTAGAAAGCGCTGAAGAGAGAGAAATCCCGCAGAAGGAGAATTTATTGCTGATTATGATTATGATTCGAATTTTGTTTGTAATTCATATATATTTATACTAAGAAGAAATCCAAGTGCCAGAGGGCGAAATGACGAGCGTGCCCTTGGTTTTGTCTGAAATTACAACTTTCGGAACCCTGCCTAACTGGCGTCTTGGTTTTGCTTTTCTTGTTGCTTTCTATGATTGAGTTTTTGACTCCGCCCGTCTATGGTCAGTTTTGCAAAATCAAAATCAATCAAACTTATGCCTAATTTTACAATTTTGACCTTTTATCTTTAGTAGAGGTAGTGACGTCGTCTGTCCAGTCCATTGAAATGGTCCGTTTGAATTCAAGAGGATACAGTCAAATTACTTGACACACAAGCCCAAGTCTGAATTTGCTTTTATAATGAAGAAAAATTCAAATGTTGGAGTTTACTTGACAATCAATTCATTAAATAAGTTGCGGGATGTGTTACTTAAATCGCAAGGAAAATGAAAACTTCAATCGGATAGTAACAGGTCGGAATGGAAAGTTTAATGTGAATAGTAGAGTTGTTATATAGGAGTAAAAATAAAATCACACGTCACCTTCTTATTTTGTAACACGTGTTTGGGTCTTAGTTCGATCATGTTGAGGATGAGGAAGAACAAATCAACATGCATAAATGCAAAACGTAGCTCGGTCCAACATGTAAAAATTTCCTGCTAACAAAAAATTTGCTAACAATAGGCGGGACACTCAGTTCTGACCGATGATTTTCTAATTGTCAGTAGAAAATCAGTTCTGAATGAAAGATATAGATGTCGTAGTCATGCTCACCTCTATAAAAATCAAAGCCCCACCTTCTCAAATGTGTACAATCTCTCAGCATTCAACTCAACACCTTGAACGAAATATAAGATTAAGCTTTGAAGTGTAGACATAGTGGAACACCACATCGGTGCAAGGTGTTAAAGTACCAAATAACCTCAAAAACTTAAGTGGATAGGTTAAAGTAAATTTAACAATTTATAGATATATCAACATTAGATATATCAAGTGACGTAGCTTCGTGATATTTGTAAAAGTGTAAGGGTAATATTGACTTTTGACTGAGAATCAAACAAAGTGGCATTAATGTAATAAAAAAATTAAAATAAAATCGTTAATCACACGAGAAATCTACCTTTAAAAAAAGAAAAAGAAAATAGAAGATCTCGTCCTTTTTTGGTTAACTATTGAAAAAAAAAACGTGCTCATATGGCCACCACTACCAAAAAGAAAGGGATGATGGGTATCTGATGAAGCCAAGGCTGCCCCGCCACAGACGGTGGCTTTTTCTCCATTTATCGTGTTCACTTACCCTTAACCAAATTACACCACTTCTCAACAACTCTAAAAAATCACCTCTTTTCCAAACATAAGTTATCCCACATACTTGGAAAAATATTTAACTTGTAGCAAATAAATCAGTTTCAAAGTTATATATTTCATAAAATTATCAAAATTCATACTATGAATTTCGATAAACTCCCTCTATTAAAGGTAGATTTAACTTTTTAGCTCTAAGTTACGAAAAGTTGATTCAAGAACTAAAATTTTCATGGTAATCAATAATCAACTCTTATATTTTAGTCACGAATTTGAGTATAATTCAGTTATTAAAATTCTATATTCTTTATTTTAGGAAAAAATCTTTTTTCGATAGAGAAAAAATCAAGTATATTGTAAAAACTCTAAAAGTCAGAGAGAAAGAGAGGAATAATCATGAAAGCGAACTCATATTTGCATTAACCAAATTAATAATTAAGCACTAACAACAAAGTAGATTTTCAAAACAAAACAAAAGAAGATCAAAATTTTAAATCAGTTAATTAAACTTAGATTCCAAAAAAATGCAAAAGCAAACTTCAAATGGTCCATAGAACATGATTCTAAATTAGTGCACGTCACCCTCACTACTATG